AGACAAGGACAACATGTTTGAACCTGTCTGAGGTGACAGGAAGTTACCATTTTCTCTCCAGCCTGTATAAACCTTATTTCAAAGCTGGACCTTACTTACCTTACCTAGTTAGTGGCTGGCAGGCCATCAGTCACCCCAGCACCCTCTCAGTTGTCACATAAAACATGACATTTATTCAGCATCAAGACGAATGATATCTATCAGTATTTATGCCATAATCACAAATCTGTCTGCATCCTCATGCTGACCTTCTTTTAACTTTACCATCATACGATCATGAACATGACTTTGGTACTTCTAATGCTAATTAAGCCCATCCAATCCTTTGACTAGGGCTATGGAAGGATGAAGTGGCTGCAGCAGTCATGGCAGGGGATCTTTCATTCTGTGTACTCATGCTGCGTCTGAGTCAAGGAGTTAGTAGACAATCTCTGGAGGCTTTAGCCCATCAGTTCTGGCCCTCTAAACTGGGTATTTAAGGGGCTTACAGGGGGTTAAACCCCCAAGATTGGAGCCGGCAACTGCCTGTTTGAGAGATTACGCTATTCAGTCTCCCATTTTCACCTCTCTGTCTTGGCGAAACAGCAGGAAGTGTGGAGGGTGGTCGTTAGAGACGTGCCTCAGCTTGACATCTCTGGAGGGAGGATGTGGTGATAAATGAGTTTGGAGAAGCTTGATTAAGTAGAACATTACCACACGCTGTGCAGCTGAATTCCAAGGAACTTGTGGACAAGATTTTGGTCTTAAATAAAATCTTTTAAAGTAATGGAGCACCTTGCATTCAGAAAATCCTAACAGGGGTATGCTGTGCACAAGGGTGCACACATTTACGGTACGTGCATGCATACTTGAAACATGGAGTGGTCAAATGTCTGCACAGTGCTGGTCCAAGCGGGAACCTTATGCTCCATTTCTCTCGGGTGGAGATGTGAAGAGTGGAAGTAAGCCGCGTTGCATCTTTAATGAGAGTCTGACATCTTCAGTGCCACTGTCTCACTATCTGTCCTGCCAGTGCCTTTTTCCTCCTCACCTGCATGGCACTCTCAGCAAGGACAGAAAACAGAGAACGCCTCTGAGCTTCACAGACGCTTTCAAGATCGTGAATGCCACCCCACTCACACTCCTTCAAAGCAGATACCACTTACAGTAGCACCATGTGTAGGTGCCAATCCCTGACAGCGAGAAATCACACTTACTAACACCTTGTAATGCAGAGTCCTTGCTCTCTTTATAATGACTCTGTTTCCTCAGCATTTAATTGATTAGTATAATGGTTTTCATAGACTCTTCATTAGCCTGTTACAGCAGTGGATCGATACGACATCATTACATGCATGATTGAACCAAGCGCCGGGCACCCGCTCCAGGGCACATTGGTTTGTATTTGTAAACAGTCGTGAATGTCACAGTGGCCCTTTATGTACAGGAACTGGCAAGGTTATGTTACTTTGCCAATAACTTAAAAGACTGATTGTCTAAGTGTGTGTTATTGGCTTGTTAGGAAATGATCAAGGGAGATACAGTATTACTGTGATCAGCCCCCAGTCAAAATGAGCTATGAAACAAATAATATATAATAATGAGACGACCACATTGGAGCTAAACTGCCATGGGCCAGTACCAAACATGTGTTGCCTTGTGCTCTGGGCCTTAAACGGTCACTAGATGAAAGGTTTGGTTCGGAGTTCAGGTACAGAGTGCTGCAGGGATGAGGTTTTTTGTGGGCTGACCCCGACGTTCTTGTCGCAATGGTTCCCTCAACAAACCACTGCAAAAAATAACCAGTGTCAACATTTATGATAATTACACATTTGGCTCACCAAGATAATGCAGTAGCTAGAAGTACAAAGTGTTAGGTTAGTAACGAAAAACATTACAGTTGCATAACTTCAACGTCGCCACCACAGTGAAGCTGTAAAGCCGTGTTCAGTGTGATGATGTTCTATAGTCTCATTTGGCCAGTTGTAAGCAACCCCTTTTAAGAAACGTCAAAGCTTCAACAAGGAAGAGTGCATTATTTACTGACGTATTTTATGCCGTAGAACAAAAGGTGAACACCTCTTGCACTTGTGTTAACCACACACACCTTATTTCAGGCATTTCGCCAACAACCAATTCATAAAAACCCACTGACTTTGAGGTGAGGGAACCGGAAGTGCAAATATGCTAACTTATTTTTGTGTTTAAGAACTCATTCCTGCAGCACTTTATTACACATACATATTCACAAGCACCTACTGGCCTATTGATGCCCATATAATCACACCAGATGTCTTAAAGGGGCAGAATGTTCCTAAAAATACAACACATCCTCACTCTGACCTCGTCACATATCGACCTTTTGTCGTGGACTTTTAGGTACCCTGGGTGTGTTTTGGGACGCCGTGTCAAGTTCTGCCTGTTACATGCATTGTCTTCTTTCAAAATACACTTCCGTTTTCACAGGAAATTTACGATTTACATACTGTCTCTTTCAAAATAAACGCACTAAATCAGTACAGCATCACAAATTGACGTTGTTGTTTTTTTCCTCTAACAACTAACACACGTGGTTAGGTTTAGGAAAAAAGAACAGGGTTTGGCTGTATCATCTTAGGGGATGCGAGCGCTGCTCTCCCAGGTGGAGGTCGGTGTTTTTGGATCCATCCACCATCCCTCCCGTGTGCCCTACTCAAACTTTTGCCACCTTAACTTTAGTTTCCAATCCCGTCACGTTTCCCCCTGACGCCACTGAGTGCCGTTAAATTATACCGAAGACTGGCCATGTATCATGCCGACGGCTTTTTTCTTTAGTGTCTGACTATCGGAAGTCACTGCCCAAGCAGATTTCGACAACTTTGGAGTGAGACTGGGTTGAAAAATAATGTCTGTACAATGTATAAATGTATACAGAAGTGATCCCTCTCAGTCATCATGACCCACAAGAAGTGTGTGACGATGTATTAACCTGCAGAGACTTTGCCCTCTGCCTGTATTATCTTAGTTTCTGCATTTGGGACATTTATGGGTGTGTACCCACACAATGCTCAGGTGAGGTAGCAACCAGGTGCCAGACATTGCCTAAAGAAATGCAAATATAGCGAGACTAAATGGCAAACAAGCGTGAAACTGGGGTTGACTTTTACTTTACCTTTACCAACACTAACCAACAGTCCTGCATAGTATACCTTTAAACTGAGTCGTGTTATCCTGCAATCTGTATAACCAGCTTTATATACAGTACAATACCAATTTCATTGTCAAACTCCAGCTACAAATGAATTTGAATACAGTAAAACATGCTTCTAATTATGTATTCAGGCAGTTTGGATGCCTCTCTTTGTATGCAAGTCTTTATGTGTCAGTAAAGTGTGGGTGAACTGAAAAGTTCCAGGCATTGCATCTTATTTCACCCCCTACTCTGTCCCTGCGGGAGCATCCTCCACTGTTCACAAAACAAAGTACTGTTGTGCACATAGGTGGAAAAATTTGTTTAACCCATTCACCCCTGAGATTTCCTCACTGTCTGTGTTCATTGAACTCTGATGGGATCTAAATACCTCCTTTGAGATTTCACACATGGGCCGTGCACTGAGGTCAGACCGGGGCCCTTGTGTATATGTGCATGTGCATGGGTGCGTGTGCTGAGCTGGTCTGGATAGAGTGACTTGCTTTGTGCGTGGCCATTCGACCAGATCCCTCACAATAGGCAGAAAAAAGGGGGTGACTACCTTTTGACAGAGCATTTTATCTCAGTGAGATCATAGCAGTTGTCTATTTATGGCATGTGGCATGCTGTGATGAGAGGGGTGCTGGAGCTGGGCTGCAGAGAAATACTGTTTGACTTCACCCTGTTTTACCTTTCCTATCCTCACTCCAAAACAGCCGCCTCTTTTGATAATCATGTGCGATCCAGCACAGCGGTTCATCTCCAGCCCTGCTGAACTCACCAGTGCATTGTTGCTCTTTTTGGCTCCCCCTCCCCTTACTTTATTTTTAACAACCCCCATTATCCCCTTCCCTCCTCTAAACTGACCAACACATGTTTGTGAAAACTGTTTTTGGTGCTTTCCGACCTCCTGCTCCAGCACCCTTTTTCCACCCCCCTGCAAAGTGCGAGACAGACCCAGGGATAGAGGGAGGGGGAAAGTGAGGGGGTGAAGGGCGGGGGGTTAAGAGAAATGGTGGGAAGGGTTGATGAAAACAACAGATCCCTGCTCCCTAATCCTTTTGTGTCGACGGTGTTAATCCATCCGAGCAATCCCCCCTCCCCCCCACCTCCCCACCGGCACTGCTGCACACCCTCTCTCAGCCCCTGCTTCTGCACCATAAACCAGGCGCTCCCACCACATAAACAACCGACAGCACTACTGAAACCAATACTCAACCCCCAGACAGTCAAGCAGAAGCACACGGCAGCCGCAGTAGCCCCGCTGACAAACACAACGCAACTCAGGCTCAACTCTGTCCCTGCTTTCATCCTGCTCATCTTTGTGGCCACTGGGAACAAGTCTCTACTCTGGATCTCTTTGTTTGTCTATGCAAACATATTTTAATCTTGCATCAGCATGTCAATGTGTGTGTATTGGAAGTCGCAAAGTATTGTTTTCCCTTTTTTGTGCATCTTGCTTTCATGCATTTGTGTTCTCCTGCTTTGTTTTGGCTACTGTACATGTAATGAATGCACTTGAGAGCAACACGGTGTATTCACTGCAAGTGTTTTTGTGTCGTGGTCTTGTTTACGAGCTGTAAGAGAGAGGGGAGGGGGGTGTGGGGTGTCGGGGAGGAGGAGGGAGGGAGTGCAGTGGTTGCCGGGGGAAGAGGAGGTTGTGTCTAATGAGGTCACACCCTGGCAACCCAGTGACTCCTCCCACTCAGCCCTCCCCTCCCCACTTCCCCCATCCTTCCACTTGGCCCCCTCTGAGTGTGCCCACCCACTCAACCCCCACCTCCCCCCCCTTCACCCTCTGACAGGGAGAGCTCTCCGTGGTGCTGAAAGCAGAAAAACACATCCAGGCTCCAGTTACAGTGCAGCTGCGAAGGGGAGGCAGGCGAGACACATGAGACAAAAACAAAGAACGACTAACTGGAGAAAGAGACTCGGGTATGAGTGCTTATGAAGATGAGTTAAAAAGCACACAGCAGGAGGAGTGTAGGGAAAAGGAAGGAGAGAGAGAGAGAGAGGGAGAGAGAGAGGATGACGCTCCAGTAGAAGGTGGCTGCAGTAGGCAGTGGGCGTGTTCTTGTTGTTGTGATCTATAGTTGGGAAGCCCGGTGTCATCTGCTTAAGCACAGACCAACTGTACAGACCTGTGCGGACGAGCGGGGCAGAGGAAACCGGCAGGGAATGCCATCCCTGGACACGCACACCACTCTGCTTTACCTCACTGGCACTGTGGATTCTTTGTACCTGTGCGACACTCTGAGACATTTTGTGCATTTGGACATATCAAAGCAGAAGGAGAGACAATCTGGGAAAGAAGAAGCATTAGAGAGACTGAGCGCCTGGTCTGCAACTGCAAAGGGGAGTTTGATGTGAGAGCATTTGAGAGTGTGTGTTTGTGTCATGCTTGCGGTTGCGGGTGCGGTCTGTTGCTACGCTGCGTCTCCCTTCTTCTGTCTCTAGCATGTGCAGATGTGTGGAGCAGTGAAGCTGGCACCTGGCTAGGAGTTTGGCACCATCTGGACTGGAGGGGTCGCATCTCCCTTTTCTGCCCAGGGGGAGGGAGTGTTGGGCCGGGCACCCAATGGCCCAGCTCCCCTCTAGCACCAGCCTTATCCTGGGTCACAGGGACTCCTTCTAGCAAGTCAATCAGTTGGAACGTACAATGGATGGAAGTCTATGTGGATTTAAGTGGATTAGTGCATGGGTGCTCCAGCATAGGTCAGAGTTCACTAGTGTGCACTGGACTCATCAGGGGAAGACGGAAGACACGTTGGTCCACAAACCAGCAGGGACACAGCCCCATTGTAAGTATACATCATGCAGTTGCTTTCACACAACGATGACACACAAACCCACATATGCGTCCAAATACTCGTGCTATACTCATCACAATAATGCAAAGTGATTGTTTCTCCATTCACATCCATATAAAAATCTCGAAAGTGGAAAAATGCCAAGTGTTGCACCTGTGTGTGCCTCGGATTACAGGTTAACCTTCACGCAGTCCACTGATGTATGCGTGTGTGTGTGTGTGTGTGTGTGTGTGTGTGTGTGTGTGTGCGCACGAGCGCCCATGCGTGTTGTCACCAGACAACTGGCCTTGCAATCTTTTTGACATTGTGTCTCTAGAATATCCATGCTGCCCTTCTCCTGTGACATGGTTGCCTGGAAACAGAAACGGTGTGCCAGTTTCATTTACTTTTAACGCAAAGTGCACCTCTGTGTTCCAACTGTTGCAACCCATGTCAGCTGGGGCAAAGGGAGCGAGGGGAGATGAGATAGAGAAGAAAAAAACGTATAAAGTGAAGGGGAAAGAGTGAGAACGAGAGGAGAGGAGGGAAAAAAAGCTGCGTTGAGAAAAATGGGTTGCTCAATTGACAGGTTTTTTTATAGAGATTAGCAAACAAGAATAGCATTTTACATTGATGAGTTACGGGAGGACAATCCAATGTGAAAGGCCGGGTTGGTAAAAACAGTGTGATAAACAAGCTGATTCCAGTGCAGAGTGCTGCTGCAGGCTTACAGGGATTAGGCAGGCAGGCTTAATTCAGCTCAAACACTGTTTGAACTGTGCCTTCCCATTGCTGCACCCTCAACACATCAAACTGGTGCACCTCATTTTCTCTTCAGAAACCACAATGTATTTTCTTTGTACAGCTCCAGATCTCTGGCTGAGCCTGTGCATCAGCGATAAGACCTGATAATCAGGGGGAAAAAATCTCCGCAGCACTTGACACCAGGATTCAGTGCCCTAGTTTGAACTCTGCTCCAAGATGGTGAATCCATCTGTCCCGTTGGCTCTTATCACTCCTCTACTCGTGCCTGTACAAACCTACACTAAGGAGAGCTGAGAATTAGTCGCAGGGAGTGGAAGATAAACCCACTGACCTAAGCACCATGCTGGACTTATTGATAGGCAGACACAAGTTAGAGGGATGCTGAGGATGGCCAGACAATGGCCAGTCTCTCAGTTGGCCTTGCAATCTCCATCTGGCAAGCACCCCCCCCCCCCGGTTGCCCTTGCCTCCCTACGCACAAACATACATACAGTTATCAGAAGCCCCCTCCCCCTCTCCACGCACACTCACACTCAGTGCTTCTCTCACACGTAAACAAGCATGAGTCTTAGGCTGATCTGAAAACACTGACCTACATAAAAGCGTGCACTGTCTTCTTCCCATCCACCGCTGGACTCTCCAAAATTCACATCCGGCTGTTGCACAATGCATATACTATGTTGCATGCAGTTGCACAGGTTTTCAAGCAAATGCGTGCACGCTGAATCACATCACCGGGTGCTCCATGCTGTGTTTGGATCTCAAGTGGCTGCAAACAATGCTGTTTTAAAATGATTCACATGTGGAAGCAGTGAGTATGGTTGCACTAATATGGATGTTTCACTGAAGAGGCTTTTCCTCGCAGAAGCATCCACACTCTCTCTCATGACAATGATGGTGTCAGTAATCGTGTTTTTACGCCATCAAAAAGGCAGCAAGGAACAACTCAAGAGGAAACTAATTTTAGATCTGAGACTTCAGATTGATGATGTCCGCATATGCAAAACCATGCATCACAGGCGAGTAAGGGTGGTTCATTTAATCTGTGTGGTTGCTCCCAGGAGTACTATATTTTCACATCTGAGCCCAGCACATATTGCAACTGCAGAAGATGAAAGCCCTTTTTCAGTTTCATTCAGACACTCACTCGGTTACAGCCAATATGTTCAGCCAGAAAATGTGCAAACACAACTGAGAAAACGAACAGCCGCTACTGATCCACAGCCAATAAGAAAACTGCAACTGAAGGTTATGAGTAAAACTGTAGCTAGATGGTGAGTCCCTTGACTGTTTGCATATTAACATGTGCATGTGAGCTTCTGTGTGTGTGTGTGTGTGTGTGTGTGTGTGTGTGTGCGCACTAGAATGATAGAGAGAGATGTTGCAAGCCTCCAGGGGAAACGTTTACTCTTGCGGACACATGATGCAAGTCTTTGAATCTTTCACTGGCCATGAACTCCACGCACAGCAGCAGTAGCCAACATTAAAAACAATAGCAACATTATAAAAACTCAGTCGTGTGACATCATTACAGTGCTGATGCAATCTTGCTTCATCGCATTTCAGTTCACCAAGGCTGACCTTGAAAAATGAAGGTTGAGAGAATGATTACTGGCATAACAGCGTGCTTGTTTTGCATTCAGACCACACTCGTATGTGATGTCCTTGTAGTCCTAGTAGTATTTTGTGTGTCTCTATCTCTTTAAGGCAATCACTTAACATTTTCTACATGTCTTTGTCAGAATGCTGTGGAAACACTTGAAGAATGATGAGCTCCAAAGAGGAGGAAACTCTCCGTTTTTTCCAGTATGTTGAGGAGAATGGGCTGAGAGCCTACAACGGCCTGGTAGCACAGAACTTGGACCACGCCAGGAATGAGAGAAATAGGACATTCCTGCAGGAGAAAAACGACAAGAAGAGAAAACAGGAGGAAGCCATAAGGAGGTAGGAAGGACACAAACAAGTAAAGGGCTTCACAAAGGGGAAACAGACTCACTGACAAAGGTTTTGCACACTTCAGGATTCTGCTCTGTAAATGCAAGAATGCCACTGGGTTCACTTCAGGAAGAGGTTGTAAGTAATTGGGACAAGTGGCCAGAGGGTCCCCGAGGCAATGGCAGGTTGCTATATTTTGGGGGTTGCCAGTGTGGACTGGTGCACCCCATGATCTATAGAGGATAATTAATTTTTCACTTTTAGACTTATTTGGGACTTGTCCTTGGATGGAGGTCGCCGCTGCTCCATTTCTGAGATGGAGAGTGTTTAGAATGAAGAAAGACTGGGGTGGGCTGTGACAGAAAGTGTGTTAGGATATGAGGATGGGAATGTGACATGTTAAGAGACTTGTGGTTATGCTGTTGTGATTTAAGTGTACCTGTTTGTTGGAAGAAAATGTGGGGAAGGTCAAGAAGTGGTTGCAACACCCAGTCACATGTGCTGCTGCACCCTGTTTTCACATGTTGTGATGAGCCAGCAGTTGCAGCTGTGCCACTGCTGTGTGGCATCCCAAAAACTTGAGCGAATAAGAGCCACGCACTCGCAACGTGACCAGCACGTGGATACGGCGTGCTTGTGTTGTGGGGTAGAATAGGGAGCACTGAGTCACAGAGTCATCGGGATGTTAGCGGGACATCGCAGAGGGGTTCAGATTGTGTTTGTGTGAAGACATGGACATCTGTGTCGCTTTGTTACCCAAAGACAAGTATGGAGTGACACCAAGAATCACTCTGAGTAGGTTATGGGTTTTGTTTTGGTTTTGGTTAATAATTTGAGCTTTGCTTTAAGAGCTATGAACATCATAAATCTGCTTCGATGGTCGTTTCTATGCTGTAAAATGGAATAGTATCACCTCTCAGTTTTAGAGCTGATGACTCATCTGAAAATATATAATTTTGACAAGTCAAGACATAAAAAAAATCATGCTGTCTTCTTCATAGTAAGGTATATAGCACCCATAAGTAGCTATTTACTGTTATTTTTAAAGAGAACATCAATTAAGATGCAGATTTTATTTAAGAGGACCCACTTAAAGTTGCAGAGAAACACTTGTTTCCCACTCTATAATCAAACAATTAATCTAATGATCAGTTTCCAGTGGAAAGGCTTATGGGGAACGCTGTCATGGAATCTACAAACCATCTCTGTTCAGTCAGTCTGCCTGACATGGTACAAAGTATTTTAGCAGCTGTTGGGAGTTTCAGTGATGTGATGTGTTTCACTGATGTGGTTTTGACGGCTGTGCATTTATATGTGACCAGATGTGGTTCTTCTTAACTGATTTATTCAGGCACACTTTGAACCCTGTCACAATTCAGTCAAAGGGTACCGAGATTAAAAAAAGAGCTGTCGCTGTAATCGTCCCAGCGCATTGTGCAGAACTCGTGACGTATATCACTTTCAAGATCAAAGCTGACTTAGAGTTCAACTGTGTACCTCAGGCATCAGGAAGACAGCTAAGTTAGAGTTCCAAAAAAGACTCCAAAATCTATTCTGGACTTTCTTTTATCACTTGCCAGCAAAATGTCTCCGCTTCCGTCGTTATTAGCAGTCTGATGCAGGGCTGGAAAGTAACTCGCTGAATGGGACAGCAGGGCGATGCCTGAGGAAAGTGGCATCTACTGTCCTGCTATCCTTCCACTGTCTCTCAGCTGTTGCCAAAGCTAAAATATTAATACACAGTCACTGGAGGAAGAGTCTAAAAAATAACTGGATTTTTCATGAGGCCTATAAGTAGGTCAATGAGACGACCCATTTCTACAGTAACTGACTGAGAGTGTGAGGATTCATTGTGTGCTAGTGACATGTGCATGCACGGGCACGGACGACAGGGAAACAGGACGTTTTAGTGTGTGAGAAAAGGTAGGAGCGAAATAAACGGCCCCTGTGATTGTGCTAGGGAGAAAGAGCTTGTTAGAGCAAATGTGTTTAAGAGTGAGAGGAGGGGAAAGAGAAAAAAAAAACCTGTTAGAGAGAGATTAAGTGTGAGCTCAGTTGCAGGAGATGTGTTCTGCCTGGTGACAGCTGGAACAGCCATAGGCCAATCAGAGCGGCACGTTAGATTTGAGTGAGGCGGGCCTTCCTGCCTGCTGCTGTCTCACTCTGGGTTGCTTTTATTGTATTTCATCAGAAGAAGTTGTGCACACAGTCACACACAGATGCCCACAGATTTACTTAAACGTGCAAGCGTACTTATAAACACACACACACACACACACATACACACACACTTTCATTTACCTGTATTTACATATGCATGCAAATTCCAAACGACTGCTTTCTCTGTCTTTGCCCTTTGTCACATGCACACAATCACAGACAGATTTTTTTTCCAATTGTTTCCCCCCCTCAGGCTCTCCTTCAGTGTTTTGTTTGTTTCTGTGATGTTTTCCCTGTCGCACAGTGTCACAGTGAGAGAGCTGCCCGACGACAAGTCCAAGTGCACCTGTGGTCTGTCCTGTAGCCAATCACTGGGCAAATATCCTATAAATACTCCAGTCACCACCACTCCAGTCACACCCACCCACCAACACCAACACACACAGCCCGTGTATATGGGTGTGCATGCACGCTGTCACAGCAGATGCAAAACCAAAACAGAGGGGAGGGAGAGACCGTTGACACCTGTGGCTGAATGCCATGGAGGATTTTCTACTGTTTGCAGAGACATTATAGCCCGAGCATGAATATTTATACAAAATATACATTAATAACCAGTGAACATGTGATGTAATGTTTGCCTTCTTTCAAATAACACTGGCAACGTGGCTCTACAGGTTGCAGCAGGCACCTTCCTCTCATATCAACAAAGCACGATGTGGTCATGATGTGCATCTGACATGCACGTGTGTTTTGTTATTAAAGTGCGGTGGCAGCTGGTTTCGTGTCTGGTTTCTATGGGTACCCTGTTGCTAGGCAAAGTTAAGCCCCTGACCAATGAACCCACCCCACCAGGCACCTTCTGTTCAGCAGCTGGCCGGGAGGGAGTCAGAGTCAGCAAAGTCACACATGGAGGGGTCACACGCACACACGCATACACACCCACACACGAAGCCACACATGCAAATTCACTATGGCATTTGTTTAGATGTTAAAATCTCTGACATCAAGGTTAGATGTGACTTTGATATGAGTATAAATAAATGTACCAACTGCAGAGATCAAGTGTGTACAGACTGCATACTCACAATGTCTTTCGTACGAACCATTTCCCCCCACAAAGTCACATCTTGAGCTCATTTACACTGCAATACACACACACACTTGCACACACAAACACACAGCCCTCCTTCCCCCCATTACCACACAACACTCAGACATCATTAACGCTCCATTCAGGCCAATCATCCATTTATAGGGATTGATTGTGTACAGGCGGAGGGACTTCCATGGTGTCATTATGTGTGTGGTTGTGTGAGCAGCATTGGTCATATTGAGGGTTAAACTCAGATCAATGCTTTGCCCTGAAAGAGACCCTGTTTGCAGTGGCACTAACATGCCTGTTATTGATAACTTGGCGCTCTCGTCAGTGTGTCAGGGCAAGTATGTGTTAGTTCAGCTGCATCCTGACACAAACAGCTTCCAGGGGATGATGAGTTGTGTGTCTTTCTTTCAGCCCCCATAAAGTAAACTTATATGATATTTCAGATTGTTTTTATTATTCATATATTTCTGTTGCCTTGACCCTTTATTTGTCCTCTCTACCCTCACTCACTCGCTTCCTTGCTTTCTCATTTCAGGACAGGTGAGGACATCGCAACTGAAGGCAAGCACTTACGAATGGGCTCCATCACCATGCCGGACCCCCAGGAACGCATGCCCATGCCCCACCCGCACGCCCTCGCCTGCGGGCAGGGCTTCTCCGTACGCTCCCAGTCCCTCCACTCTGTCGGCGGTGGGAACAGTGGTGGCGGAGGAGAGGAGGAAGTGGGAAGCCCGACCTCTAGGAAGCAACCCCCACCCAAGCCCAGGAGGGACCCAGCCACGAAGCTGAGCATGTCGTCTGAGGCGGTGGACCACAGTCCCACGTCCACCTGCCGCGGGGAGAGATGTGACGGTGAGTGGTGGTGGCACTTCACAGCAAACTGCTGCGCTATATATAGCTGCTCTCTGCAGTGCCCTCCTCAACACTGCTTCTCCTACAATGACATGACATCTAGCTATTCACTGCATACTTCACTCTAAGTACCATTCTGGCAAATTGATGTTAAAAATATATATAATAATGAGCTATAAGCACAGTGGAGTTAAATCATAGTGAACACATTTGGGGTGCACTAGACAACAATAAAAATGTGATGACCAGCAGATCCATGAATTACATATGGATGAGTGTTAAAAGGAGTCTTACAAGTGTTGTGCTGCATTACACTGACTAATCTGGACAACAGTTTGCCTGTTCTGTGAGAAACTTTCCTTATTATGGTTGAATGACCAATGTAAACATATTCAAGATTAATTAAAGTGGAACTAGGCTGTATGTAATTTCTGCATTTAGACTGGCTCCCTTTAGGTTCGCTTTCACTTTGGCTCAATTTACAGCAAGTAAGTGCATCAACCATTGTGCAACCAAAACAGGAAGGGGATAGCGCTTTGTTGCCCCCATAGACTGTATAAAAAGATGGATGTAGTCACCGTAACATCAACCATTGGTTTCTCTGGCTGTCGCCATCTTGGCAGTGCCTGACTCCGCCCAACTCTTGGCCAATCAAAAAAGAGGCGGGCCAAATGAAGCCTGGTTGCTTAAACACGCCCACCTCGCTCGAAGCTGCTAAGTTAGCTAAGGCTAACAAGCTACGCTACTTTGGCTAGCCCTGTGGTGTTTGCTGCTCCCGCTCATGCTCCAGCTTGGTGCAAGCTCCCTCATGAAACAAAATATCCAGAAGGCACAAACACGGCTGGGAGGTCAGGTTCAGTGGCTTGCGAATTAGCTGAGATGATGCCTAGCAGACAGCCAGCGGCTAGTGATGGCGCCACCTGTCACTCAAAGTGACCACGCCCTTAATTATGTGCAACTTTGCCCTTAATTATGTGCAACTTTAAGCCTTAATAAAATTTAAACGGTTATAAATGTTCTAAAAAAATTCACCCCCCTGTACAGTTGTCATGAAAGGGGAAATTAGCAATAGAGACCAAAACCATTTTTTTGTACCAGGCTGTAAACATGTTTATTTCTGCTGTAAAGTTGAGCATTTTAACATGGGGGTCTATGGGGATTGACTCGCTTTTGGAGCCTGCCTCAAGTGGCCATTCAATGAACTGCAGTTTTTGGCACTTCGTCATCCCTGGAGGTTGCCGCTTGGTTGCCCCCCAGTAGCTATCCCCCTGTTACCAGAGAGTATCTGTCGCAGGTCTTTGCAGTTACTATCCCCCGTAGCAAAAATGGCCAACGGTGGAACAACCCAAGTAACTGTAGAAACGCGTCTGACCGGCATTCAAGCGTCTTTTTAGACAGGTGTTTTTCCGGCGTCTTTTTAGACGCGCATTTTTGTAGATGCTTCTTTTTAGACACGCGTTTTTAGATGCGCGTAGACGCTGAAAAGTTAAAATATTTTCAACTTTTTGAGCGTCAGATGCCAGTAGCTAGCGCGCCTTGAATAAGCGCTTCCAGCGTTTCAAGTGTCTTTGAAGCGTCCGTGTCTCTAGCGTCTCATTTCTGTGTGATCGCTGCCTTAGTCGTAACTTTATTTAACTTTACATTGTGCTCTTTTCCCTCCTTTTACCATCAGATCAACAAATATACAGGTTGTTCACTTACTTCCCATTGCCCCACAGATAAATCAGATAGTAAAAGATTGAGAATCGGGCACTAACTTGTTGAGCCGGGAGTGAACATATTGTAATGTGATGCATTAAGCATGGCTGGTACATGTTTGTGCTGCTTCAAACCTCTGGGCTTTGGAAAATATAACCTCTGACACCATTTAGGACCATGGTGTATTCAGGAATTTAATTTTTTGAGACACTTGAAGAGTAAAAGCTGAGAGCACATGTTCATTTTTCACAGCAGAAACAAATATTTATACATTTTTGCTTGTGCATGCACTCATCAGGTGTTATATATATACACTGCCTTTCCCTCAGTAGGGTTCCCAGGCTTTGACTACTGTCCCAGTTTCTATTACTGAGAGCAATGTCCTGATTAATATAGTAACACATGCTGTGCGTTAAGTTGAAGCTCTAGTGACTTCACCTTAGAAGTCGGCGCTGGCTATAGAAGGTTATTGGTCACACAGTTAGTTACTATTCTCAGGCAGAAGTGCCTTGACAGTTCTGTAACCTCATTTAAAACTGGCTCACTTATAGATTTCCACAAGGCAAATTAGCTATAAAATCCAAACTATTTTCCTTCCAGTTAAAACTGGCGAGACCAAAAATTAGAGACGCCTTGATCGAGATCCAGTCGGAGCACCCTGCAGCAATTTTAGTCAGTTTTCTGAAGCAAAATAAACAAACACAATACGCCTGTGTGGCCATGGATAAAAAAGAGGGTATAATTATAGAACATCAGCTCAGTGTAAGAAAAGCTTTAATGAATAGAATTGGAATTAATTGAGCAAAAGTAATGTTTCCCTCAGCGAGCCACAGATACAGTCACTGCTGTAGCATGTGCACACGGCTAACAGTCTTATTAGAGACAGTACAAGTGCTGAGCACAAAGAAACACTAACAAGCGCTGCAAAATTAAACTGACATTTAGAGTGTAATAATATTGGTCTCTGAGGTAGGTGTGTGTGAGAGCAGAAAGATTTAGAGGTAGCAGGAAGCTTTGACTCCATTTCATTTCGGAAGCTTCGTTGCCAACGTGATGTTCAGAGAGTCGCCCAGCCTGGCTCAGATTGGTGGGGATCTCTCTGTGTGCACACAGATCTTCCTGGGCACCACGGCAACCATCCCACAGAAACAAGACCCCCTGCAGCCTAGCCAATCACAGAATCACTGAGCAGCACGAGCCAATGGGGCTCCAGAGATGCTGAAGTCTGAGGCTTGCAAGCCAATCGGAGCGAGAGTGTGGGGGTGTCCCTGGCTAAGGGGAGGGTTGCGTGCTCTGTAGCTGGCGCTGTAGCAGGAAGGGGAGGAGCTTGTCGGAGTAGAATTCATTCAGGAGGAGCGATTGACCTAGATTCGTTTTTTTTCCCCAGGAGGAGAGGGAGGGGGAGGGGGTTTGCGGGTAAACACATCCGCTGCAGGGGGAGGGGGAGAAGAGGGAGCTATAGAGAGAGGAGAGGAGAAGGGACAGGGGAGTAAGAGATGTTTGTAGGGACGGATTCATCACCAGTACATTAACAGATCTCAAGATCCACCATGCGAGCCTGATAGTGTAATAACTCATTTGGTGATAGGCATAGTTACACCACTCTGCGCACACAAAGAAAGGAAGATGTGAGTATGGCAGTCCAATTAAACACATACCAGGAACACATCTGGGTTGAACCAAATCCTCTATTAACACCTTATTAATGGTAACGAGGAGAAAAGGCCTGTTTCATCCTCAGTTCAAATTAGCATCATTATCAGCCCTGATTTTTTTATGTTTCTACTTGTCAGCCTTCATTACTTTCTTGTAGTTATGCTGTCAATTTAAATAAAACACCATAAATCTATCTATACTGCAACATATTCTGCAGTTATATATTCAGCTGCAATAGAAAACAAGGCATACACACCTAAACAGACCCCCACTTTCAGTAAAGATTGACGTCATAGCTTGTGTGGTATGAAATGTGTACATGCCTGTCCTAATTTCCCTCTCTGAATGTGTAGGCATGTGCAGTGCGTGTACGCGCGCATGTAGGGATGGTGGTGAGTCATACAGTTGCGGGAAGTATGCGTGTGTCTGGGCCATCTGGCATCTGAATTATTAAAGGTGTAAAATCTGCAGTTTTTAGTTTTCAGACATGGTCCGGCTCTTAACTTCACTTATCTCCCCCCCTGCCTATCAAAGACAGGGACACTCCTATCCAAACATCCCAGTGTCTGACCTAGAAATACACCGCGAGCGACTCTGTAGTAAAGAGCGCTGTTTTACTGTGAGTAAACGAGCTTTAAGACCGCACTGTACGGTAGTATCTAGCTGACGCGAGCGAGCACTGTACCGTAGCCTCACTGCACCACATCTAAAGAGATTCACACTGCAATGCTACGTCACCACTATCAGAAAGAAGTTCCACAGTATGTGTGACCCAGATACTATACTCACATACTGCTCCACTGCCATATATGTGACCTAGAAACATGCATATGCCTCAACATTCCCACATATCTGACTCAAGTGTTGCTCTCAGCTACGCACGTTGACCTACATCTAACCCACAAAACTGCAGGAGGCTTTATATTAATGATAATGATTCACTTAAAGGTCCAGTGTGTAGGATTTAGGGGGGATGTACTGACAGAAATGGAGTATGATAGAATAAGTATGTTTTCCTCAGTGTATAGTCACCTGAAAATAAGAATCTGTGTGTTTTCATTACCTGAAATATTGATATATTGAATATCTACATAGGGAGCAGGTCCTCATCCATGAAGTCTGCCATGTTTCTACAGTCGCCCAGAATGGACAAACCAAACACTGGTTCTAGATAGGGCTATTCGCATTGGCCACCGCAGTTAGCAGGCCCTCCACAACATGCCAAACAGCATCAGACAAACACAGATTTTGACGTGAAACTGCTTTATTCAGTGGTTTTACCAGTTTAAATCAATGGGTCCTTTTGTTTTGGACAGGAAGAGACCTCTGCGGAAAATTCAGCTCCCGGAAAAAACCTCCTGAACTTTTGGATCTAAAGTTATAAGAGAAAAAAGGGGAACACACATAAGCAGGTGCTGGGGTAGGAGCCTGTCTCTGACATGCTGAACAGCAGCCCAGAAACACTGATTTGTAATGTGAAACTGCTTTAATTAGTGTGTTTACCAGTTTTAATCATCTGGTCCATTTGTTTGGAGAAGAGGAGACCTCTGTGGATAATTCAGCTCCCAGTAAAACCTCCTGAGGGAATCCTAACCAGGGGTTCATGCTTGGGGCATGGGCGAAGTTTTAGCTGGTTGCAATCTGCAATCCTCAACATTAGATGCCACTAAATCTGACACACTGGCTTTTTAATGATAAATGATGCTGACAAAAACTTTTTTTCGTCAAATGAAGTATTGTGTTGTGTGTAGAGTTATCAGGTAGTGCTTGTGAGTGTGATATTCTTCAGTGAATTTGTATTTAGGCTCTTCTCTCTGTTCTTTAGCAGCTCAAGGATGCAGTGAGGACTGCAGGAGGGTGCCGCCACCCAAACCTAAGAGGAACCCCAACACACAACTGAGTGTTTCCTTCGATGAGTCCTACATCAAGAGCCACGGAGGCGGCGGTGTTTGCCCCTCCAGACCCTCCCCCTGCGAACGTAACGCCTCGCCTCCACAGAGCGACGAGAGCCCTACGGACGACTGTGAAGATGAACCTGTCTACATAGAAATGGGTGGGATTGACGTCGGAGCAAGGGAACCCTTGAAGAGTGAGGATGAGGAACCAGGAGAGTCTGTGTACGAGGAGATGAAGTACCCAGCTCTGGATGATATGGAGTACCGCACTGACCCTGTGGGATGTCGCTCCGCGTGCCCCACCCCGGCACCCTATGACCCTGAACCTCTCAGTCGTTGCTCCACACCTCGAAACATTCCACTCTGTGACATTCCTGCACCCTTTCCCAATCTGCTCACCCATCGGCCTCCGCTGCTGGTGTTCCCACCAGCGCCGGCCCAGTGCTCGCCCAACTCGGACGAGTCTCCCCTCACCCCTCTAGATGTAGCCAAATTGCCCATGCTGGAGAATCAATCCTACAGCAAATCTCCAACATCCTCCACTGAGCCACCCTCCTCTGCACACATCCGCAGGGAGCTCACTGCCACCCCAACCCTCACCGTCTCCGGCCGCTCCTCTGCACCTCCTCTACCTTGTACCCTCTACAAATCCTCCTCCTCGACCTCCTATCAGCGCAGCCACTCTGCTTGCCCATCGCCAGTCAGCATGGGCCGCTGTCTCACCCCTCTCAGCCTCATGCGTACACCTCCCTTTGACGCTCCAATGCCATTCCCCGGGGGTCTGCCACGGAGCGCCTCTGCCACGCCTCATGGCAAAGGCTCGCCACCTCAAGACGGTGTGGGTCGACACCATGGCTCTATGCAGAATGTGTCAACAGGGCGTTCACGGACACCAACCAGCCCACTGGACGAACTAACCAACCTGTTCACAACTGGCAGGAACATGCTAAAGAAAAATGCCAGCGGTAGGAAGTCGAAAGAGCCGGGAGAGAGTGAGTCATTTCACACATTTGTCTCTTCACGTAGTAAGGCAAAGGGCACAAACACATGCACTTGTATTTACTGATGTTTCTTGGATTCCTGAAAAGTGTAGACAGCCTATAAATGCCTCCTTTCCTAAATCTCTTCCTGCATAAATTTATCCTGTATGTACATATCTTCATTTCGTAATAGAGACTGGCTTAGTGAAGAGAGTTAATGAGAAAGCAGATTGGAGGAACAAACTCTCAGAATAATACATGTTAGAGCAGGAGCAACATCCCAGAGCATCTAAGGAACGACATGAACGGTGTCGGTGTCTAAACTCTTCCACTGCAGTAAACTGGAGCAAACACAAATACATAGTCTTCAGTTCCCTAATCAGCAATAGTGTAAATTATCCCTGTTTTGGGTTCACAAGTTTAACCCTGCCAAATTAGGAGGCTGTGCTGAGAATGCAGCACTTTTACAGTACCAGGAATGGGGTTTGTGGCGCTCTCTGCAACCCTCCATTTGTTTAATCTAGGCCCAGCGAGCCAAGTCTGATACAGATCATATGATTTAATCTGAGGGGATTAGAGACTAAAGCGGACAGCAGGTCCCTCAAACCTACTCATGGCGTTAGGCCATCAGGCAGCATTATTTTTAAATATGTAAACATCATGTTTAAATACAGATAGCCATGCTGCATTCAAGGCTCCGAAATGAATGCAACCGTGAAGGCAAAGCATCTATTGGCAGAGATGGAATATAATATTCACAACTATGGTTTCATTAGCGTATAAGCACCTGAAAATGAGAATCATTGTGTTTTCATTACCTTGGAATGAGCTGTTTATATCTACATATGGAGCAGGTCCTCTTCCATAGAGTCCGCTGTGTTGTCCTACAGTCGTCCAGAACACACAAACTAGCTGTAGATAGAACCATACACATTTTTGCGTCGGCCACCATAGTTCTTTGACATGCTTGGCACATGGGAGAAGTTTCTGTTCTGCAACCTCAGCGCTAGATACCACTAAATCCTACACACTATACGACACTCAGAGTCTGGGACAGGATTGTACACAGCTCTCACCTTTGACGGCACCATCAAACATGAAGGTAACAGTGCTAACCGTGCTGTTGCTGCCCAATCTGTGCCAAAGACCAATTTGTTCTACACATGTGCAACAATGTTTGGCATTAGGCATTGACCTCCAATGGTTAGGGTCAGGACAGCCCATTGGTCAGGGGATAGGAACTGAAGAAATCGGATTTCTGGTATGGATCCGGTAGCGACAATCACTAACAGTGCTAATGACGCCAAGAGTGCTGACAGAGGTAACAGTGTTAATCTGGGGCGAACCGGAGGGTGGGTGTTATGCTTCTGCAACGCTGGTGTCCCAGCACAGTGGGTCGGGGAAGCTTTGTCAGCGGTAACTGCTGTATGAGCGCCGTCCATAGCTGCAGTGATGAGCTAGCCAGAGGGACATGAAGGGAGGAAGTCACATGCACTAACATACATGCTCAGCAACCAAGACAGAGAACAGAGAAACTCAGATTACAACACACACACAGAGGGAGTGTGACTTCATTCTCTGCTGCTACTCCACTGTCTTTTCATAGAGACGTTGTTGCTGCTGCATTATATTCTGAATGTTGTATAGAAATGTTAATGCTCACATCATCATATAGGAAGTCTGGCACCAGCAGCATTAATAGCCAGGCACAAATTAATGTTCTCATGCATAATGTAACCATTATTTTTTAGGGTAAAGTAGCCTGAATATTGTGAAATCTAATGTTAGCTGATAAAAGGTTGATGACTACTAGCATTAAACCAAACTAGGCTTGAGTGAGTTTTATAAATGCATGCAGGATAGTGTAGTTCATGTAGAGGCATGTCATGCATTATTCTAAAAGGGTAACTAATAAATTAATACGGAGCATCTCATGATTTGGAGTGAGGTTTGACATGAAATGTAACCCTATAGCTGACTTATATCTCTTCAGAGCTGAGCTATACAATGTAATAGAAAATGAAAAATTGACCTAAATCCCCATCAAATGCTCCAAAACTTAAAATTATTCAAGCGCATTTTGCACATAAATCATAAAAGAACTACAAAGAGTCCACACATCCATCCTTACTCGACGCTCTTAGCAACTACAACATAGCAACAGTGGAAGGAGGAGAAATCCCTGTTTCTTATTTGCAGATTCCCTCCCCATGGGTAATGCAGCCAATCACAGCTCAGGGCATGCCGGTTTACAACGGAGCAATGAGCTCCTGATGGGGATAGCTGTGGCTCTGAACTCAAATCTGCACCTGATCAGAGGATTTCAGTTTCTCTTTTCTGTCCAATCAGCACATACTCCACTCATGACTGAGCCAATCATGTGGCTCTGGCAGCTGTGCAGATGGGGATAGTGGGAGCTGAGTCGGGTTATGATTTCTTGCTATTTTGCCTGCACTGATAAATACATCTTCCAGTCGGTGCATACATTGTGCCCATTGGTGCACATTGCTGTTTAATCTGGCCATTTCTATACATTGTCTTGATTAAATTACAGGCTTACATCAAGTGATAGTGACATTGTGAAGGGGTGCGTTCAGGTGCAAGTGGTGTCTTACCAATCAGCCCTTTGATGGTATCTTGGTCTCTCGCCCCATATGGTTTGTAAACAGTTTGCATATGCTTTCTATACATAAAAAGTGGGCTGTGCTGACAGGTCTTCCTGTTTATTTATTTTTTTAATCCCCACACCTGTGTACAAGCGCCACATGGGGCTAAAGGACTGACAGGCTGCGTGTGTTGCTCTGTGATCGTTACACTGTGTGTAACAGGCACACAAACCTAACACAATGAATGGAGGTTGATTTTTTTCCGTCTCCCTTTCTGAGGCGATAGAGGCAGTAACAGCTAGTCTGACCCACTTACCAACTGGTTAATCGCCACACTCCCTCTCTCACACACACACACACACGCATGCACACACACTGAAAGCCATGTATGACACATAATATGACGCAGGATGGGCATGATAAGCGATGCTCGTGCATGGTACTGTATGCTAAAGCCCATATAGAAACCATATAGAGGCACGGCCTACATGGAAATCAATCATGCACTTTTATTTTTATTTGTGCAGTGATGATCTATAATGTCTTTACGTAGCGTTGACTCAGTGACACACACACAGCTAGCAATTTTATATGAACATGGGCTGGAATATGATGTGGATGCTGAAGAAGAGTCAGAATGCACAATTTAGTTGTGCATGTAGAAACTGTAAAGTTAAATACACAGACATCCAGTGGCAGTGGTTTATGTTCTATAATATGTTTTATACTGGTAACCATGGTAAATCTATGGTACTGTCATGTATATTATTTTGTAGATTTTAGGATGAAAGAAAAGTAAAGTAAAAAATGCAAGAAACGAAATCTGTAAAACAGATAGTTATAGTGTGTATTATCATATACCATGATGAACACTAATGCCTGGTAGCTCAAATATTGACTCATCTTACTCCAGTTGTTTATTGCAGCTGCTGCACTGAGTAGTGGGTGACACCTAGAGGACATATGATGGTAGTGCAGAAACCTGAAGCAGAAAAACAATATTCTTTCTGTATTTTTTTTTCTTAAAAATGTAATTGACAGTTTATATTTAAACAGTTTATTTTGAATATTTACAATGCGTCATCAACTACAATAAGCATAGATTTTAGGGAGGATGCAGAGGACACATCCCCATCAATAGAACATGTGCTTCTGTTCCCCCCCAGAAACATTAAGGTTTATTTTGACAAAATTGAGGACATTAACATCATAAATTGATGCAGAAAATGCAAAAATTGGTGCATAAAAATTCATCAGGATACAGGAAATTCTTTGACAGAGGACCCAAAAACCTCCTTAAAACAAAGCCTAAGCTCTTGCCAGCCACAGCATAATGAATTTGGATCTAACAATCATTTAAGTATTTGCCTTCTGAATTCCTTTTTCCTCTGTTCTTTTACAGCTGAGTCCAAAAGCAAGTCTCACAGCGAGTCCAAGCGTGAGGGTAAGGAGCGCCACAGCCACAGTCACAGCAAGGAGTCCAAGCGGGACTCCAAGGATCGCCACAGCAAAGAGTCTTCTCACCGGAGAGATAGAGACAAAGACAAAGACAAAGACAGAGACAAAGATAAAGACAGAGACAAAGATAAAGAAAGGGGGAGCAGCAACGTAGAGCCACTGCCCCACAGACGCAACAGTAAAGACCGTACTTACAGCGGTGCAGATGCACCACCTGTTCGCAGGGATAGCAGGGACCAGGGCTGCAGCAGTGTGGAGCCCATCCCATTGATAAGAAGAGACTCCAAGGACAGGGGGCTTAGCAATGGTGACCTGATGCTGAGGAGAGACAGCAAAGATCGGGGAGGGGGACATGGAATGGAGCCTTTGTTGAGACAGGACAGCAAAGACAGAGAGAGACTGCTAGATCAGCCGCCTGAGCTGTTACCAAGACAAGACAGCAAGGAACGGGCAAGAAACGGTGTAGACTGTAGACCTGAGAGCAGAGACAGACTGCTGGATCAGCCACCTGAACTCTTACCGCGACAGGATAGCAAAGAGAGGGCCAGGAACGGTGTGGACTCAAAGCATGAAAGCAGAGACAGGCCGCCTGAGCTTCTCCCCCGACAAGAGAACAAAGACAGAGCTAGAACTGGAACAGAATACAGGCATGACAGCAAAGACCACCGTCCTGATTTGTTACCCCAACAGGATAACAAAGAGAGAGCAAGAAACGACGTAGAACATAGGCATGAAGGTAGAATAGACCAGCCGCCTGAGATCTTACCCCGACAAGAAACATCCAGAAGCAGCAACAGCAAGGACAGGGTGGGCTACAGCTCTGAATCCAAGCATGAAGGGAGAGATCGGAGCTGCTACAACGGGGGAGATCTCCCTCCTCCTCCTCTGCCCAGGCAGGACAGTAAAGACCTGAGCAGGACTGGACTCGAAGCGAGACGGGACAGCAAGGACAGAAGCCTGAATGGCTCAGAGCAGCATCATTACGATGTCAAGAGCACCAAGAGCCCGTCTGCAATGGAGTATAGGTGTGATAGTAAAGAACGTGGATACAGATCAGATGGCACACCCAGACGAGACAACAGAGCCAATTACAGCACCGATCAATCAAAAGCACAAGAAAGGAATGGCAGCACAGTGTCGGGGCAGCACTCATCCACGACGACACCTACTCACCACAGGAGATCATCTGGTAGCCCACCGACGACCATGGGAACAGGAAATGGTGAGGGTTAAAACCTCAAATTCAAGATAATGTAGAATTGATCATAACCTTTTGTATATGCGTCAAAAACCTTATTACATATGACCAAACATGATTTTCCCTCCCTTTATAGATCTGAAAGCAGCAGCTAAATACGGCCGCTCACCTTCTATGCCTGCAAACCCGTCCCCGATGGGAACGCCACAAAGGAAAGCAGCTGAGACACATCAGAGTCAGGTATGCAGTCTTTGTCTTTACTGGTGAACACACAAGTTCTCAATTTCACCACAGACATTTCTGTAATTCCTTTTTTCCCTCTGTGCTCTTCTCTCTGGTTTGAAGTGGCTGAGTTGATTTAGAAAAAAGGTGTCCTTATGTGACCCTATCAGGATTTGGCCAAAATATAAATCAGAATCAGATGAGAGCTGATGGGTTGTTGGGCCGCTGTCAGATCTGATCAAACTACATCCATAGTCTTGATGAAGCAGTTTTGGAGTGTTGAACTCTTTTTTTCTACTTTCTGAACAAGCTGAACTCAGCTCATGACGGATTTCCTTATATGGTCATCTGCTCCAGGCACGCTACTGCAAGTGTTTACATTACGTAACCTACACTGCTACATGAAGCCGTGTGCTAATATCAGGGAAACATAATCTTGGTTGCACAGGATTTTCATTTCTCCCCTATTTTGGATCATATTCCTACTGGAACATGTGCGGGTGTGAAGGTTTTGGTCAAGAGGCTTTAACTCTTAATTTTTCACAGCAGAAAATGCCAACAACGACAAACAACAACAACAACGGCCTACAGGGCAAAAGTCGTAGTAACTTTCCTAGTTGACAAATAAGTGCCTGCATGGACAGTGACGTTCACAATATGACTTTATATAAGCCTGAATGACATCATCAGTTCTCTGTCTTATCAATCTCCCTCGATTTGTTTGTGTTTGTATGAGCCATGTGGTTGTAGTGGTGACATATACGCCGCTCCCGCTGCTCAAATTTAGCAGCGGATGTGGCGCATCTGCTGGTTACGATACCTGTCAAATGGTGTGCAGACTCCATCTTCTCGGGGCACTGCAGGCAGACTCTGGCGTGGTGACGGTGCAGACCCAGTGAGATATGGCAGACCCCAAAAGCGCTCACCAATCAGAGCAGACTGGCCTTCTTCTGAAGGGAGGCTTAAAGAGACAGGCACTAAAACACAGGGGGAACACAGATGTTCAGCACAGACAGTGCCAGGAAAATAGTGTTTTTTAATATTAAAACGTGTTGTACTAGAAATCTTAAATACAAGTACAAACCTGAAAATGAGCACAACAGGTCCCCTTTAAAGTGTGTACAACTAATTCTGATTCTTGATGCACTGACTCTCCCTCAGATGCCCCAGATGCCATGGATCTGCGGAGACACCACCATGCTGGAACAGATCGAGAGGAAACGCACCCTCTGCATGGAGATCCGCTCCAGGCAACATCCGCACCTGCAGAGGTCTCTGGAGAGGCCTCCTCCTCTGGACAGGAACGAGGAGCGGCACCAGGAGAGGAGTCAGTGCAAGCAAGAAAGTGCATCCGTCCTCCCAGGCTGGGGGAAAAGCAGCGGGGCCAAAAAGATCCGTCCTCCCCCTTACCCTACACAGAAAACCGTATTCTGGGACACGGCCATCTGACAGTAACGACACACTTACACCTCCCTGCCACACAACCCTGAATTACCCACTCCCTCTTTCCTCTGGGTTGTGCTGATTCTTCCCTGCAACATCAGGGGCATCAGGACAGCCAATAAGAGCACTGGGGGGATGATACTCGCTGATGTCAAAGGACAGTGGTGGTTACCATAGCAATATTTCTGCTCGTTCAGGTTGTCATGTTTTCTTATCATCACTGGTGATATTTGATATTTTTCTATTTCCTGTGACTGGATTCTTGTAATATAATTAGTAGAATAGATATTTGATGAATAGATATTTTCTAAATGAGATGGGGATTAAAAAGCATCTTAAATTATGTATAGTAGATGTAGATGCAATCTAATGTTTGTTTTGTTATTTTTGTTTTGGTTACTTTACATTTGAAAGCATAATCTATCAATACTTGTACTGTAGTAGCATAATTTTCTTATGCCCAACTCTTTTTTTTTGGGTGCTCAAAAGCACTAAAATGAATGGACTCTTCAATTCTGTCTATATATACTTTACATTTTCACTGTTGTATTGTAAGTTGAGGAGTTAACGTCAACGTGCTTTAGATTCCAGCGCCCTCCATGCCTGGTCCAGTACAGTATGTTCTAGAATGTACAACAGTCGGTCCTAGAACAGAAACAGGAAACTTTGTGTGCTTCAGTTTGTATATTACAGTAAGAAGCTGTGTAGTCACGACGTCAAAGCCTTTCGAAGCGGTTGAATCGTTTTATAGGGAAACCTGTTGGCTGGCATGTTGTAGAGAACAGAGAAAGTGTGAAACGCTGTATTCTAAGATACACTATGAGGGTGGGTCGGGGAGGTAGTAAATTAGAACATACATTATTAACAGTATAATTTCCAAAACCAGCCAAAGCCTGTCAAAGCGAGATATGGGTGTGGTTGCACTTTGGAACGGTTGGTTATTTGAAATGGGATTGGTGGCAATAGCTGGCGAGCACTAGCGCCCTTACTTTGCCGGCCATGCACACTGCGAGCACCATGACAAAGTGTAAATACTTGATGCCAACGACCAGCCCGTACAATCAACGCCTGAGCTTTTAGAAACATTTCTTAATTTTACTGCAGATTATAATAGCCATATGCACTTGCTTAAGAAATAACTTTCAAGATTATGCTTATATATATATTTTTGAAAATGTTAAAGGTAGCTGTGCCATGTAAGTTTTTAATTTATTGGCGGGGAGGTAAAGCCTCAGGAGGCTGGCTGTGTGTGACATGCAGCAGGCTGTTCTCATGCACTGTTCGTACGTTTTCCTATGAAAAGTGATGCACCGAAATTCGTACATATCTCGCGTAATCATGAGTCAGTAATTTGTGTATGACCCCTGATTGATAGCGTGACCAATGGGGGGACGGGAGTAAAGAATGGGTCCTGTAGGTAGGCAGGTTAGGGTGGTGGATGGGTCACAAAACACAGGACTTTCCTCCTGGAGACTGGTGTTCAGAACAGTGTGAACTCTAAGTGAACTTTTACCCCTTTTCTACTAACAAGGAACCGGTTCTGTTGCGGTTCCCACGTCTAATTTTGATCCGTTCACAGCCTTTGGACAAAAAGTAAATTGGTTTAGAACCCGAAAAGTTGGTTCTCAGCTGTAACCAAGAAATACGTTTCCCTTGCCTGAAGGTGCAGACCGTGACAACCTCAGTAGGCCACTGTTACAGCAGAACAAAAGTTTGCAGGTAATCAGTGTAATCCATGATTCTGCCACAGCTGTTTACTTCTGTTCATCGTGCAACACCCTGCGTTGATGAAAAATCCTTGATCACAGTGGCTTCGCGCAGAACTGGTGCAAACGTGGGCTGATTAGCTAGATAGCATCAAGGTTCCAAGAATCCTGACAGAACCAGCTCAAGAACCAGAGCTAACGTGGTGGAAAGGGGGTGTCTGAGTCGACTCCGTGTTTTGTTTCCTAAACCTAACCTACGTAACGTTACGTTAAGTGCATAACATCATTCATGGGGTGCTAATTTACAGGATTTCACACAATCTGTTGTGTGTGTACATTCGCAGGATATCATACGAACTGTTGTATGAGGATACGTTGCACGCAGTCATCTATGACTGGTTGTCTCTGACAATATTCCCAATTCAATTGGCTGGTAACCATTTTAGAAATCGTTTAAGGACCTATAGCATGGCAACAGCTCTACCCAGTCAAACTGACAGGGGTTGCACAACGGCCTACAAATCTGAGGCTTTGTGTAAAAAAAAAAAAAAAAAAAAAAAAAAAAAAGAAGAAGAAGAAGAAAGAAATCTGCACTACCCATCACATTACATCACATTTAATCAGGCTGATTACATACATGTCCCTCTCCCCCTGCTCTCTCCCTCTACCTCAACCTCCTACTTACATCATCTAAATTGGTTCTCTTTAGCACATTAAAATGCAATATTGACATTGCCAAAATAGTGTGGGTTTGACAAATGAGCTAGCCCTCAGAGTGCAAGTGCAGTACCCCCTCACTGGTGAGAATCAATGCTACAGAGGTTCCTCTGTGTTGTACCAGTATGTGTGTGTGAGGGAGAGAGCTGTATGTGTTTGTGTGTGCGCGTGTGTGTGCCAAGCTACACTGTATGCAAGTTGAATCTTTGAAAATGATTGTTTTAAGACATTCACTTTACCCTATCCATGATGTTGGTAGGTGGAGGTTGGAAATGTAATAACGATGATGTACAATCTTTTTGTGTGTATAAACGTGCACTGTGAAAAGGTAGAGAGAGCACCGCACTGTCAGAGTCCTCTGTCTTATTGCACTGAGTGTTCTCTTGTTTTGCGTAATAAAAAAAGAAAAGGAAAAAACATGTTTGAGGAAAAAAGTACTGTATTCTGATTGTCACTTGGGTTCTGTTGAGAGAAATAAATATGAACTTGAAACCCGCTATGGAGAACTGTGTCCTGTTGGAATTATTCATTTTCACCCATCTTGGGATTTTTGAATGTAGGTTGTTTTTCCAAATGTGAAAGCTACTGAGCTCTGAATAACTTTAAGCATTTTTAAACATTTTAATTGTGGAGCACAATTTAGATGAAGAAGAGAGGGTCTTCAGAACATTTCTCCTACAGGACTTAAAACATGAAACTTCAGGTACAGCAGCAAGATGATCAATTCTCAAACATTTTCATTACGAGAAATAGCACCTTATTGAAAATAATGATATAAAAAGGATACAGTAATGGCAACATACTAAAAATTTTATTTTATAATTTTATAGATTCTAGTTGATGATATTTAGCAATAAAAAAATGCGGCTTTGAGATTTCTAGATGTTAAAAATGGAATTGCTTAAAAAATACCTTGTGGCAAACTTTGTTTATCATGGTTCCCACACGTTTGACAATGAATTTTCCAGACTTTTCCATAAGTCTTCCATCACATTTAACCAGATTTTCATGACTTTATTGATGTCGTTTAAAATGTTTAGGCCTTCATAGCAATACAGACATACATTATAAAAAGTGCCATATGTAACTCTTGCAAAAACTGTTGAGTCTCATGCCAGGTCATCACGGACTGACAACCTTTGGTTGGTAGTTGGACCGAAACACCAACCCAAAGTGTCGGTACTTGACAACCTGGCATTGAGACTCAATAATCAACTATCTCCCTTTAGAATTACACACTAAACCTTTAAACATGCATGCATGCACATTCAAGCCGCCAACTACCTGCGTATGCCAACTGACCAGACCAGCACCTATGGATACTTTGCAAAACATCCAGGCCTTTTGGGTGATAGACCAAAGGAGATTTTAGTGATAGATGTTAATACAGATGTTTGGATTATAATTTGTTTGTTGTAATTACAAGTTTATCTGCATTTATTTCTTGTTTAAAAAAATGTGATATCTTAATAAGTTAAAGTTGTTTGCTGTCATGTCCTATCAGGCTTCCCCCACTCAAATGGATCAATGACTCAACATCCAGACATCTAAACATGTTGGATTAAATCACCAGGTATCGTAATGTTAACTGTTGCCTGTGAATAACCAACTGTTTGAGATTTGGCTGGAGAAGACAGCCTGCTCCTGCTATACTGTATGACTGTACTGCAGTAGCCTCCCACTCAACTTTCTATCCATCAGTAGTAACTGTGACCAGCGTCATTTAGCCTTTTACCACACTGACAGTGGATATTCACGTATATTATGTGCCTCAAATCTCAGTGTGCAAGCCTTGGTTAACCTGCTACACATCAGCTTTCAGCATTTTCCAGTTTCTCTCCTCATGTAACAGCACATTTCTTACCCGGAAAAGGGGGGTGCAGCCTTGGTGATGATGCAATGTTGGACTGGCCTGTGTATCATGTGATACTAGTGATGTTTTAACAGTCACGCAGCACGGCACTAATATGTTTTTTGTGTAATGTTAAACATGTTTTGAGATTTTTTATGAACATATTCTAAACCATAGCCAAACAATATATACTCAAAACTTTTCCAAAACATTCTGTTAATACAAAACAATTTCCAGGCCTGGAAAACCATTTTTCTAATTTCTTAACCTTTCCAGGAATTTCATGACCATGAGAGCCCTACTCTATTGTTCTCTGAGGCAGACGTGACACTGACTGGCCTTGCGTCGCTGTTGGTCGGCTGTCTTGATGGTGCCAGGGCTCGGGGTGATGAACTGCTCTGTCTGACTCACAGTAGTCAGCCAAAAACTGTAGAGGTTTGCAAAGTAGTTACAGGAGCCACGCGCACCCTGGCACTCTATGAAGGGGTGAGTCCGGAAATCCTTCAGACAGCTACCAGTAGAAGTCAGAGACTGGCCACCTCCCTCATCACCTGCCCCTGTGTGCTGAAGGGAAAAGTTGCAGAAGGTGGTACACATTAGGTAAGTTGAAAGCGTTTTTGTCTCACAGACACACTTAAGCTTTTTATCACACTCACCAGAAGGAAAGAGTAGCCCGTCCACAGGCTCCTCCAGCCAGGTGGGCATGCAAGGACTGTGTGATCTTGGCTGTGAAAAGCCACTGCAGGCGCACCTGTCTCACACACCACACAGCGGCTGATGTGGGTCCTAATTGCCTGGCCAAAAAGTGGCATCATGGGTATGGGAGCGGTGGTGGAGAGCCAATAGGATTTGTCGTTGCGACTGGAGTAGTGACAGGCAGCTTTGTTGCAGTAGGAGAAAGGCATGGTGGAGAAAACAGGGAGGCAGGAGCCAGCCTGGCCTAGAGGAAGAAGAGATAAAAGAACAGAGAGAGAGAGAGAGTAAAAGAAGAATAAACCCTATAAACTCACAGACTGATGCATAAAATAATTTCCAATTAAAGTACCACTTTGTACAGATCCTTACCCAGATCTTGAGTGTGAGCCTTCTCTTGTCCCTCCAAGTAGACCAGACTGTAGCCCACCCAAAGCTGACTGCTGCCTCCAGGGCACTGTGGCACCTGAACTGACTGGCTGTGGAGAACCAAAAGGAAGCCTGACCTTGATGCTCCCCCGTAGCCTGGTGCACCCATATCACCGGGTGGACCTGCGACACCTGAAGAATGGAGGGGTTGAACAGTTAGCGACAGGGTGACATGGAGGGAGCACAAGAGTGAGGATGAGTTGAAATTGGGTATTGGATGCAGACGACAGTTTAATTTGTAGCCTTGAGTGAAAGACCAAAAGTTTCATCCAGACCCTTCTACATAAACTGAGTAACTCTAGGGCCCGTCTCCAACGTGCCAAACAGCATGCCACATGACTGCGTCAGATTATTGACCTTGAGGTCCAGTAAATCCTCGCTGACCAACTTCTCCTTGGTCTCCGACAGGACCGTCAAGACCAGCAGGACCTGATTTGCCAGGGAGGCCCACGTACCCTATGGCACCCTTCTGGCCTGAAAACACAGACACAAATACACAGATAAGGACAATTATACATACAGACGACTGAGGATGAAGACACACAACACAGATTTATTCAGGCACGGACCAGAATGTGTACACACATACTCAGAGAGTATTTAATAATCTCTTACCTTTACGTCCTGGAGTCCCGGGAGGACCTGCATCACCAGGGTATCCCGGAGGTCCTGGGTCACCAGCAGGTCCTCGGAGTCCTGGGGGAGCATTCCCTGGACGTTCCCTAATAAAGTCACCAGGAGCACCTTTGGGACCTGTAAAAAACAATAATACAATGACTACCAGATATACTGTTGTAACACAGCATGTCAGTCGTGTTGAATAAATGAGAATTAATTCTTTACTAACAGAAACAGAAACAGACAAATGTTAAGTCATACTGTGAGTGTGTGTGTGTGTGTGTGTGTGTGTGTTGGCATAGAGCTATGGGCATATCTCTTAGCTACAGTTCCGCTCACCTGCCTCTCCAGTTGAGCCAGTTACTCCCTTGTGGCCCCAAGGCCCAGGGACCCCAGTCTGACCTTTGGGTCCAGGAGGACCTATAGAACCATCAGGACCTCTCTCACCTGTCAAAGTGCAGCAACCCTTAGACTGCATGGAAGTGGAGAGCATCACTGTAAATACTGACAGCAGCAGTCTTGCACCGCAACGTACCTTTCTGTCCTGTAAGTCCCGGGTAGCCCTGAGACCCTGCAGGCCCTGGGAGACCCCTATCTCCTTTACGGCCTGGTAACCCTGTGAGGCCATAAGGGCCTGGGTCTCCTTTGGAAAAAATGCTGCTGCCTGGAAGGCCCGGCTCCCCAGGAGGACCTAAAACCCAACACAAACTCCCAGTTGTTGACAGATAGATAAAAAGGCACACATACCCACAACTGAACATGAACATTGACACAGTGTTCATCCCTGAATGTGGCCACACCAAGATGGAGACAAACATAGGCAAATGGATAAACACAAATACAAACACACAAACCTGGGGGCCCTGGAGGTCCATCATATCCTAAATCTCCGTGGGGTCCTGGCAAAGGTGTGTAGCATTCTATGCCAGGGTTACCAGGTTCCCCTGGAATACCTGGAAAACCTGAGGTAAGAAATACAAGAAGATAAATACATTATACAAAAGCTGTATAGAAGAACAGAACAGCAACCCCACTGGGAGGAAAGAGAAAAATAGTAAAGAAATGGCAATAAAATGCCAACAAAAACACAGTACAGTCTAATTGACTGTAACAGACTATTGCACGGTAAAAAAAATCATCAGTTTTTTTCTTATTGGACTTACACTGGGGTATTGTGAGGAAACAATAACTTAAAATGTTTGACTTCAACAGTTCATTTCTTCCCAACCTTTATAGACAGTATAGAAGGGCGAAGAGAACACACCCCTCCGCCCTTCCACGCACAAGGAAAGCCTTAAAGGGCCAGTGTGTAATATTTGGCATGGTTTATTGTCAATCTGAATCTGAATCTGAATATTCTACCCAATAATATGTTTATACAAGTGTATGATCGCTATAAAATAAAATTTGTTTGGTTTTCGTAGCCTTATAATTATGCTTTTATATATATATATATATATATAGTAAGGGCCTTGCTTTAGAGAGATCGCCATCTTGCGCCGCCATGTATGTACGGCAGACCGAGTGGACAATCCAGCCAGCCAGAGAACGCGTTTCACGTGTATAAATAAACCAACGAAGACAGCGAAAGGAAGGAGGAGGAGGAGGAAACAGCAGAGAGTGTTAGTAGTTCTTCGATAGAGAGTAGCGAAAAGTTTTTTTAGTTATAAAGTTTGCGAATGGACCACACTTACCACGCAACAGGAGAGAATGAACCCGAACCGTCATCTGCGAGGAAAAGAAGACGCAACTTCACTCCTTGTGATGCACTCTCTGCGGCGCTTTTCCTCCTGATGATATATCTCCCCAACGATGGTAGCAGTAGCACAGAATCACATTCTGTGCATTCAGCCTCTCTTCTCACCCGCTCAGCATCCAACACATGGAGTTCCTCATCTGTATGCTCCGGCTCAAACAGGTATGGCTCTGGGTCTGTGTCCGCTACAAGAAACTCTTCAAAATCGCGTTCAAAGTCGTCCATTGCAGATACTATAGTCCGGAGATATTGCTAGGCTAAATAAACAGCTGAGCACTGTTTACCGGCTACGCTGTCAGTCAGTGTGCGGGCTGGAGATTGGTTGAGCAGAGAGGGGAGGGGGGTCCCCACTTAGTATTGTAAACGAGTATGTGTGTAAAGTTAGAAGTGTGTCTGTTACGCCAGAAGAGTCAGAGTTTGGGACGGAGTGGAGTGTTACCGGAGTTTCTGGAGTGCTCAAATAAACTGGCCTTTTTCCCGAACGCTCCTCTGGTCTCCTGCTCATGAGGGATTCATTACAATATCGTAACATGGTTTAGATTTCTAAATAAACATTCACCTCATCGCTAGATAAACCTACTCCTGAAAAACTCGTGTGCAAGGCTTTTTGTCCCTACGAGGCCACCGTCATTTACCCGACGGGAGGGGTGAGCGAGTGAGCCCTGCAATCTAGAATTTGACCACTGATGTCACTGTTTCCAACGGTTTTCAACCCATTTTACACACTGGCCCTTTAAGGCAGAGAGAGCAAACCTCCCTGCCCTTCCATGCACCTACATTGAAAGTCTAAGGCAGGGAGAGCAGCAGCAAAGACCCCCCGGGAACAGAACAGAGCAGCATCAATGACAAACAGAAATGACATTGATAAGTCAGACGCAGCATGAAAAGGAGTAGCTGGGGTGGAGGCAGGTTGCAAAGTGGCTTGCAGAGGAAGAAGCAACAGTAGGCAGGCCAGAGCAGTTTAAATAGGGCGCCCTGAATGAGATTCGCCAATTGGTTGCATAGAAAGGAATCATGTGATCTATCAGCTGACTCCCTTCCATCAATCAGCTGCTCCATCAGTTGATTGTGCTGTTTGAGGTCAGCTGATGTAGCTGGGATGTGAGCTGAGCTTGACATTGTGTCGTGCCTGAACTAAAGTTATGCTCAATATGCAGGACGTGCACTATTGGTAACAACAGATATGATACCTGTGTAGCCAGGTGGACCCCTCTGGCCTTTGGGCCCTGGTAAAAAGGCTCCTGGAGGCCCTTGCTGGCCCTTAATACCTTTGGCTCCAGGAAAACCATCTGGTCCTGATGGGCCAGGGTGATCCATGCCTTCAAGTGAAAAATGGGTACATTTAAGTGTCAATAGTAAAATATTATGACAAACAATTTACTAGCTCAAACTACACTTGAACATTTCTGTTTTACGCAATTTGTGCTATATACTATGACCAAAAGTTTTCTATCAACAGACACCATAAAAGACAAACAAAGTCAAGACAAAGACTGCTAAACCGTGTTGATAAATCTCCCTCTTACCCTTTGCTCCTTTTATCCCTTTTGGACCTCTAAGTCCATCCAGTCCATCCAAACCTGGTGGTCCAGGGGGCCCTTACATGAAATCACAGCACAGCATGAGAATAATGTCAGGTTATTGGCAGACACATCATAGAACCCCTTTGACACAGAATTCAAACCAAGTGATAGCCAATAAAAAGCAACACAGATAGAACAGCAGACACTCACAATGCCTGTACCTTGCCTATCCAATGATGGGAGAAACAACTGATTTTATATAAGTACCTTGGGGCCCATCAGGGCCAGGTGGGCCTGGTGGTCCCTGACCTCCATGATCACCTGGAAGACCTGTAGGACCTGGACGACCTGATGGGCCACGAGGTCCTGAGTAGCCTGTGGAGATACACGTAAAAGAGCCCAATCATTTTAACATAAAGCACAAGATTTAAATGACTTACGGGAATAAACACAAGTGTAAAATATAAGGGAGTAGTAGTAGTTTAATTGGCTAAATTTCTAAATTTGAAGATCGTGGAAAATTGGAGCTGGTTTATCGCCACTGAATTACGCCTGGTCAGTATCATGTTATTACGGTATACAACAGTATTTAGAAATCCAGACAGTATGATTTTGTGAAAAATACAGATGCTTATCTTTCTATTAAACTCATGTGGAGATGCTGTATTGAGGACGTATTGTATGTAGTAGACGTCACGTGCCACCAGAGGTCAGTGTCCACTGGTGGAACAGGTAGCTAAGCTGAGAAACATGGCGACTGTGGTAGGGATAATGTTACAGGACTGTAAACAGCTGGCCAGGGACAGTTGAGAGAGACCACCAGCAATAACAGCACATTGTCAAATCTAACACAGTGAATGACGGGATTATTTTCACCAAACCAGAGTTGGTGATTGATGGAATACTGGACAATCTCAGTAGATGACTAACAACACTAACTAAGACCATTTTGGTGAGTTTCAATGAAGTATGTTACACAATGAGTTAACAGGGCAAGACAGTGCAGCACACAAATACCATCATATACCATAGACCCCTACTGAAATTTAAGGAAGGTCTGAAAAAATAGACACCACCCAAGCCTACAGTGAATGACAGAATATGTGCATTTGCATCTACATACAAGTAAGCTTTATATTGTGTGGAAAAATATCTTAGTAACTGGCTCACTGTTCTTACACTTACACTTTACACACACACACAATAGCATTCCTTCATTTATCCACTTTAAATTATTGGTGCAGCACATTAGGTCTCTGATTCAAATCTTAAATAGAAATCACCTGGTCTTCCTAGTTGTCCTGGTTCCCCAACAATGCCTGGTCGTCCAGGCTGTCCTGCTCTTCCCTGGAATCCTGGGTCCCCTGGATCTCCTGGACTTCCTCTGGGTGCTCGAGGGAATTATTTTGAGGATATAAATTTATTTACAGTGATACATTCACTTGTCCTTCCACACAAGTTTAACTAAAAAGAATATGAGTCCCTTATCATCTTTTGAAGTCATCTGTTAGTAGGTCTTCTGTCAACTCACCATGAGGACCATCCTCCCCTGGCAATCCTTTGGGTCCACGTGGACCAGGTTGTCCATAAGACAGTCCTGGCTCACCTGGAACAGATGTGGACAGCTTTCATTAGGTTCAGTCCAACTGAATGAAACAGATATGAAACACTGAGAGATTTTATTTGGCTTTATTGTTTTTTACTTAACTGCATTTGCATTTATTATAAAAATATATCACATTGTTTTTGATGAACCAGACAAAATTGTAAATGACCCAGTCTGCTGTGGATTCACATCCTGTTGTATAAATGTGTTGTCTCGCTTCTGACTCACCCTTGGCTCCTGGAAATCCTGGTAGCCCTGGGATACCCAAATGTCCTTGAGGCCCTTGATCTCCCTTTAACCAACATGAACACATTTAGTCTGTTTACCATCACTCCTGAAGTTGACATACAATAAATAATGTACCGTAAAGCCACTAACGTATACATGTAGATAAAAACATAAGCAGTCTGGGACTAGCCTCAATCTTAATCCATGCCACAGCCCTCAAAAGTGTCTGAACACAAAATGGTTGTGCACTATAGACTGGGATCATCAGAAATTACATGCTGCTGGCACAGAATGTAAATCAAGTAGCAGCCATTTTTCACTGTGTACAGTATGAGTATCTTCTGGACAGATATTAAAAAAACTGAGCACAGACACAAAGCTGTCTCTAAATTTATGAAGACAATAAATTAGATTCATCGTGTACCGGATCTCCAGAATTTCCAGGATTTCCCCTTGGACCAGGGAAACCTTTGATTCCAGAGTACCCAGGAGTTCCTGGTATTCCTGCTCTGCCTGGAGCACCAGTGCTGCCTTTAAACCCTGGCGAACCCGGCCATCCATCAGGTCCTGAGTCACCTGGCACTCCCCTTGGGCCCTTTAAGCCTATAGGTGACAAAACAAAATAATAATGTAGTCATATACTGTTTTGTAGTGTTAGGAGTGAAATCGTCTTGTTTATAGACAATGTATAAGTTAAGTGACAGCTCCATTGCCTGCAGGTCCTGGTGGCCCCAATTCCCCCTTCCTTCCTCTAAGTCCCTGTGGGCCTTTTGTTATATTCACGAGCCTTGATGGTCCTGGTAATCCTGGTGGACCACGTACACCTGGATGGACCACAGAGTTGAGATGATATTCTTACCAGTCTGATTCATAAAGTACACCGAAAGTACAACTTAATAACTGAAATAAATCATGTTGGCTCATCTTTCCAGCTTTCTCATTTCCTTAATGTTGTAGCTGTATACAGCCAAGGTACATTCACTACATTGCTGTGCTAGTTACATATCTGAATCTGACTGATGATTACAGATACATGCCCTGAGACATCTTTAATGATTTGATAATATTCTGGTTGTTAATTATTAAAAAACATTAGGCCACTGCAACTGACATGACTGAGTATAGCTATCAGACACATGGGACCCTATCTTACACCTCGCACAAAGCAACTCTCATTGCTAATTTCAGACCGATTTGGTTGTCATTTTCACTGCCAGCCATACTGTGTAAGTAGCAAATGTACCCAAATTGCACCCTTCTGTACACCCATGGGTGTGTAAGTCTTAGGATGAGGTGCATTGTTGACATATTGCTATTATATGGCAGCAGAGATTAATTGTGCCATTGACCAACAAAAACCTGGTCCATAGTCAGAATGGCAGTGCTTTCCTGCTATTTAAAGGGCACATCATTCAGACAGTAAGATGTGCTTACATAGGCGGGTTCACAGTGCATGCACAGTCTGCTTGTTAGATACACAGGGACACGCAGATGGGTTGCAGGTGAGGGTCAGGGTAAAATAATACATCATTAATGAGTAAAATATGAATCAAATTCTCTAAAATGTGAACATAGCAGAGAGCAGAACAGAGTTGCGGGGCTACTGTCCAACTCCCTATTAAGAGGGACACTGTGCACGTTTATACAAGAAGAGCTCATAACTTCATTTATTATTTCAGAAGCTAAAATTTTAGTTCTGCATTACTGTCAGCATACAATCGCTCACTTCTCCAATTTGGGAAATTCACGATATCTAGCCGTGTGCCAGGTGCAGGGACACCTGGCTTTTAAAGGGAATGGGAGATGACACTCTCACTATAGACCATGTGGTATAGGTTGTCATATAGGGCTCATGTTATGTAAACAAAGACTTACCTTTATTGCCAGGCTGTCCTGGGAGTCCGGGGTCACCTGGCTGACCATCAAAGCCCCTCTCTCCTTGATTACCTCTTTTTCCTGGAGGTCCAGGAGGACCTGGTAATCCTGTGGCCCCAGCCCTGCCTGGGTAACCCCTTTCACCTTGATGAATTGGATGGAAAATCTCATTTCAGACAGGGCAGGCTAGTTAACAGATATAAAGCATTGTTGATAAAACATAGACTAGATTTCAGTGTAGGCTTTTTTGTGGGGATTTGGGGAGATGTTTATAAAAGCATGCTGACTGGCAACTAGCTCCTAGTGTGGCAATGCAGTGTAACTGACTGGAAGCACCTGTCAAATTTTATACCAAGATTTTAAATGATGAGGTAAAGACATAATGCTTTTCACAAAAGTTTCTTATCCAGACAGGCCAGTGGTTCACCTTTCTGTCCTGGCCTGCCATCGATCCCAGGATCTCCTGGGGGGCCAGTGGTGCCCCTGGGTCCAGCTAGGCCTGGCAAAGCGGGAGGGCCAGGGTAACCTTGTGGGCCCTTTTGTCCATGACCAGGAGGACCTATATCTCCTTTATAACCCTTCTGGCCAAGGTAGCCTGTGCAACATTTTTAAAATTCAGTGCAAGAAATATGTTCATGGATGGTTAGATGGTGACTTCACAAAAAAATATTCACACTCTGGAATTAATCTCAACATTTTAAAAAGACATTCAGATGAACATTCAGAGTGACAGCAAGACATCCATAATTTTGCTTGATGCTGCTGTGTGCTCACCTGGTACTCCCCTCCGTCCAGGGTTTCCTGGAGGTCCAGGAGGGCCTGGAGATCCAGTCAGATCACACACAGTGCAGGGTGGGCCTGGGGGACCTGTGGCCCCAGGGTCACCATTGTCTCCTGTCTGTCCTTTCCAACCTGGTCGTCCAGGTTGACCTTGTGCGCCTGTTATGGCCAATCAATTCCAATATAAAATAAAGAATGGGAAGTACTCTGTAAATCAAGTAAATCTGAGATATAGACCACATTAACTGAGTTCAGTGGTTTGTTCATGTTCACATAAATGTAAATCAAACTTACCTGGAGATCCTGGTATTCCGGGAATGCCATGGCGTCCCTTTGTCCCTACAGCCCCAGGGCGGCCAGGTGGGCCAGTAGGGCCACGTTTGGGAAAGCGGACATCTCCGGGGTCACCCTTCCTGCCTTGTGGTCCTTGCAATCCAGGAGAGCCTGGAAAGCCATCCAGGCGAATTCCACTGGGACCAGGGTCACCAGGATCCCCATTTAAACCTAGAGGTCCTTTTACAAATAAGAGAGACCTACAGTATAAGCGTTTAAACAGCCCTTCTTTCCTGCAGTGCTGATTCTTGATGATCAACAAGCTTGAACCTGCGTTCCCAAATGAAGAAATATCTTCTCATCTTGTGTGTAAATTTAATTTGACAATATTTTAGAAAGGTTACCCGGAGGTCCCATCCCTCCAGTTTCACTGTCATCTCCTTTCATGCCTTTCGGGCCTGGGTATCCTGGATTTCCCAGAGGACCATCTCTTCCTGGGTCACCTGGAACCCCTACAAGGAGCCAAAGAAAACTTAAAGTTAACTTGGTCATGGATCACATTTCTTTCATCACACGTGGCTTTTGAGCAACTTTTCTCTGAACTTTAGAAAAGTCAGATCAGTATGCATGGATTGTCCAACAACAGCCCAGTCGCCAGAGGAAAATTGCATTGTATGTTTCTGCAAACCACAAATATGTTACATTTGATCGTTTCATATGTATCATATCAACATTTCTTAAGTGATGTAGTTTATGAGTTGATTTTGTCATCTGGAGATGGAGGGGATTATGGATGGTGTGGCACCTATAGGCGAGACACCTCCTAAGAAGCAGACCACTGCAGACCAGTGTTTGAGACCAATAAACAATAACACCGGTTGTTTTTTGGCGACCCTTTATGGCGTTTCCACGAGTGTTTGAAGTCAAACCTGGGTGTTTTTACCAACAAATCGCAGCATTTCCCAGCAAGGTTCAAGCTAACAAACCTGGGTATTTTCACCAACCCGTTCCTCCTTTTCAGTGGCTTTTGTGCCACCACACGTGGGTGTTTAAGCCAAAACATGATCTTTTCCTAACCATAATAATATGTTTCCTGTGCCTCAGTATAACCACACCTTCACCACGGCATTGTTAAGAAATACAAACTTTCAACGTATCCACTACAAAATAATGTACAAATGTAACATATCCATTGTTTGCAGAAATGTACAAAGCTTACATTTTTTTCTGGCAGTTTTATTGCCAACAACCACTTTAGTAATCATCATTGACTAACAGGTGTAATTTTTTTACAGTGCTTGGATGCAGTTTATTTAAGATATTATGTGAAACACCTGGAAGACTTACCTGGTGAACCTGGTTCACCCTTAGGACCAGGTAATCCAATCCCATCTTCATGACAGCATGACTCACCTGGTGACCAAAATACAACATACTTTTTGAGCTCATGATACCTGGCTTAATGCAGTGTATTAACACTAACTGAGAATCTCAGAATTTAACCCAGACTCTGACCTGGAGGGCCTTGTCGTCCAGGAATTCCTGGTAGGCCAGGATGTCCCGGATGACCTTTAGGTCCAGATAGGCCCTTAGGCCCTGGGAGACCAGGACCTGGAGAGCCAGCAGGCCCTGGATACCCTTTGGGTCCAGCAGCACCAGGGTAACCTTTGGGACCACGTAATCCTGCATATCCAGCACCCTGCAAACATGTTACCTGATACCATAACTGTAGAACCCAACAGAATGTAGCAAAGTGGAGCATGTTTTCTGTTTGATATATTACATTCACAGTACTGAAAATGGGAAATGTATGCTCTCACTGGTGTTCCACGGTCCCCTGGGGGACCAGGGGAGCCATCCAGTCCTGGCGCACCTGTTGCTCCAGGAGGACCCTGATGTCCAGGGACTCCTCTGTTACCCTTGGCACCTTTCAATGACAAAAACAAACAGGCACATAATTTTTATTTCAGACGACTGTTGTACTGAACAGACTGTTCAGAATACAATGCACTGTGATCACCTTTGTGAACACAAACCAATGAATACATCTTGACTCCTGACTCATAAGTCTCCCGTCCTCTGTAGATGTTTCCAAGCATTTAAAATACCTGTACACTTTGCTTGTGTAATAACGCTATGTATAGTGCAGTTTTGATGTGGTGCTCACCTTTAAAATCTACCACAAAAGCGTGACCTTTTTGTCCCTTTTGTCCTTTTATACCAGGAGCTCCCTGAAAGCCCTGCAAGAAAACACAAAGTCAGAATCAATACAACACTATGTTTCTGTGGCTATAACAAAGAACACACTTGTATACATGTCAGAAAATGGCATTTAATTATAAGTAAGTTTGGGTCCAGTCATCCTTACTTGTGGTCCTCTTGAACCGTCATTGCCTCTCAGCCCTGGGTCTCCTTTAAGTCCTTGAGTTCCAGGTAACCCTGGAGGTCCTGGATAACCAGGTGGACCAGGTGGCCCTTCCCTCCCCCCACCAGACCTACAGTTACAATCCCCTGGACAACCTGTTGGAGACACCGATGACAAAAATTAGGGCTGGGTATTAGTACTCGATAAGGTATCAACCAGAATAACCCAGCACCAAGTAGTATCAAAACAGTCATAGATCACCTTTAATTCCTCTGAGCCCTTTGTTTCCACGAGGTCCTTTAGGTCCTGGGTAACCAGGTTCCCCTGGGTCACCAGGCTCACAATAGTAATCTGTGGATCAACCAGCCACAACTATTCATCAACATAACTTTAAAACTTTAGTGAGGACTCTGAATGCATGAACTAGCGAACATTTTTTCCATCAGAAGTAACTGAGAACTCACCTCCACATCCTGATCCGATCACATCAAGTATACCACACACACACACACACACACACACACAAACACACACACACACACAAGCCAGAAGGTAAGTATACACTCAAATGAACATGCACAAAGATATGATTAGCTCACAATTATTTAAATAATAAAATCACATTTGTAAGATTAATTAAGACATAGAGGACACTCTTTTGTATTAAATATGAGGGAAGCACTTATATACCTGGAGGACCTGGGGGCCCTGTGACACCTTTAGGTCCCCGGAGTCCTTTGGTTCCCTTTGGTCCCAGAAATGGATTTTCAACAATGTCATTGCCTCCTGGTTCACCCTTGTATCCCTTGGGACCGGGGTGCCCTTGGGGACCAGGACGCCCTGGCACTTCTGGGAAGGTGTGAGAGACAGTATGAAATTTCAGATAAGGTCCGATCAAAACCGACTAACTGACTGAGTTCCTAACTGTAGGTCAAATCCTGATCAGAATGAGGGATAGACTCAGTCATATACAGTACATCAAATAACAAGTAACCTGAAAGTTAGAGACCAGAGACACAGTCTGACCTGGTATTGTTAACCCTGGTGGACCAGGAGGTCCATGCATGCCCATATACCCAGGGTCACCGGGGGGTCCAGCTGGGCCAGGATACCCACGGTCACCTTTAACACCTGAACCATCATATAGACATAGACCCATGAAAAAGTCAGCTTAACTCTGATTATTTACTAACTTAGAGTCAAAACAGTGAGACTAAGGTTGTAAACTATAAACTTTTAAATAAAGATATGATTTCATTATCATATTATAAAAAAAAAATTATACTAGGATAGTGCTGCTAGTGGTCACACTTAACTCAACCAGTGAGTAGAGTGTAGCTACTACTGAGGCCTCACCTCTGGCATCACTTCCATTGTAAAAGAGCAGGGGACCTGGGGGACCTGGATCTCCTTGGTAACCCTGTTTGAGGCAAAGACAGAGATGGAAACCATAGTCATAGACAGAAAATGCCACTGATGTACATAATATTTCTAAATATGAAAGGAGTGATCAAAGATGACTGGTGTTATCCAGTTAATGTGAAAATGCCACTGAGCCACCACCAGAGGGCAGCAGACAACATAGTTTCTCTTTACCTTGTTGACATATTTGAAGTACACCTCTGATTGGAAATGGAACAAAGGTATCCCAAATATGTCAGCAAGCATCTACACTGCTGCAGGATATAGATTCATGTCATCAATAGCATGTCTCTCGCAGCTAGAGTAGGCGGAATTCTGGAGAAGGCAAAAAGAAAATCATCTCTCCCTTCTCTGTCCTAAGCCCTTGCCGCCAGACAACCATGTGCATATGCACGTGCTTCATACATTAACCCGATGTTTCCCAGACATTCATTTATTTTGTCTTATTTCATTGTAGAGTTGCACACAGCTCATTCACCCAGACACTCCTTGACCCACTCTCTCTGTTTATCTCACCACAAATAAGACAAGAATAAGCAAGCAAACGTTAACGAACAAGCAATCCTTTTGCCTCGCTCCCTGCCGCCAAGGACTGCTTCCCTAGGATAAGAGCTGGCAGCAGCTCGGGAGATGGACCTTGGGTCTCCAAATCAGCCAGTACAAACTGGATTTGTGTTGCCGTGGCCACTGTCTGGGGGTCCGTCTTTGGAGCTGCTGCCAGCTCTCCTCACAGTGAGGTGGGCTGTAGTGTTGGGGAGTGAGGTGAAGGACACACTTTGATTTGAGGCTCTAGCTAAGATAAGCTACATAAAGATGAACTTGAAGGCACAGCCATGGACATTTAGCTCTGGTCAGCAGAAGGCTAAGGCTTTTAGACTCGCATTTAGTTAAGTTCATCTTCCTTGTTTGGGTTGCTTTGCAGTGTAGGCAGTTGTTGACAAATGCCTGAGACGCAACTTTCTCTGCAGGACTCTATGCTAATTGTACCAGGCTTTCACCAAAGGGACGTGCACATGAATCTGCATTTACAGAACAGCCAAGATGAACTCACAGTCTTTGAAATGACCTGTGATTGGACAAAGTCTCCCGTCACAGGCCATATTCTCTAAAGCCTGAAAACAGATCCAAGAGAAGGTGAAGTCTAGTGTTCTCTCAGTCCACTTGAATTACAATAAGCTCAAACCAAAGCGTTTTTACAGAACACTGGCTTCTGTTTGCATCTGACACAAGCTTTATAATTCTGTGATGCACAATCTGTTTCAAGCTCACCTTTGGTCCAATTCTTCCAATGAGACCTGGGAATCCTTTCTCTCCACGTGGACTCTGAAAATACATCCCTGTATTTAATAATAATAATAATAATAATAATAATAATAATAAATTTTATTTGTTGGCGCCTTTCTGAGCACCCAAGGACACCTTACAATAAAAACATACAAAAATACCAATAATACAACATTAAAAATAGATAAAATACATGACAGAAAATTAAACCGGATAGGCAAGTCTGAACAGATGGGTTTTAAGCTGTGATTTAAATTGTTAACCTCAAAAACTGCCTATGCATAATAACACAAGCTACAGCAAGGCTTAGACGTCGTGTTACAAGTGTACCTCAGATCCTGGCAATCCATCTCTACCAGGAAGTCCTGGAGGACCCTAGGGATGGAAACAATGGGGTGACTATTGTACGTCTGTATGCATACGTTTGTATACAAGCATGCTGCAGTCTAATTTAAGTCACCTACTCTCTGTCCAGGAGAACCAGGCATTCCTCTGTCTCCTTTAGCTGCTTGTATGAAGTAGTCTCCTCTACCACCCTGACAAGGAAGAAAATGCAAGTAAAACACCTTTCTCATCCTCTCAGACATACCTGTATGCTAACATACTGTTTGACACTCACCCTTACACCCTTTTGTCCACATTGACCAGGAGGACCCCAGTCTCCCTGAAAAGCAGGAAAGAAGATAAAGAAAAATGAATATATGTCTTTATCCAGGTCAATGCCGTAGACATCAATTAGTATTCTCGCATAAATACAAGTGAGAGCTTTTTGCCCTTACCTTGTAACCTTTGGGTGGAAGAAACTCTGGTGGAAACTCGATGACTTCTTCTGGTCCTTGAGGGCCAGGTGGGCCTTGCTCACCCTGGAATATGGAATTAAAGGGGTGAGGACGTTCGCTGAAATGCACAGACCGTACAAACCCTCAGTGCACAGCTGTTAAAGGCCAAAATGGTTTCTTACATTGTCACCTTTAGCGCCTGCCAGTGATCCTCCAGGGTCGCCCTACACAACAACCAAAAGTTCAGTAAGTTTTAATGTGTGTGTGGGTGTCTGTGTGCGTGTATGCATGGAAGTATTTTTGTTACAGCATGCTCTGGTAAAGTTTGTGACTCACTGGTGGTCCTCTCGCACCTCTAGGCCCTTCAAAGCCCTAAATGGAGTCACACACATAGATCTTCACCACAATTGTTCTTGTAATGTGCAGTAATATCATGGTCTTGATTACAAAGACTTATATACAAATGTGAAGACTTTTTCACCTCGAGTCCAGGAGGGCCAGGAGGGCCAGCGTAGCCTTTAGGCCCAGGGTTTCCTTGTCCTCCCTAAGTTAAAAAAAAATACAAGATGGTAGAGACTTAACTACACGCACAGTGTAAGACATAAAGCATTCAATTCCTGCTTCATCTATTAGCTGAATATTACTGAGGATTACTGCTTTACTGTCAAGAGAAAAAAAGAACACATACAGGTGGACCAGGCTGTCCATCTCTACCAGGGTCCCCCTGTAAGATAAAACAAAACATAGATGAGAATGATAAACACTGGACTTGAGAGTATCTACAGACAATATAAACTGCAAATAATTATGAAACTGATTATACAGAAATGAGTTCTGACACCGGTGGAGCCTGGTCCATCATTATCAGAGCCTCTCCAGACTAGAGGAACTTACTGGACGCCCTGGAAGGGCAATGCCATACAAAGGTTCTCCTTTTATTCCTTTAGGTCCAGGTAATCCCTGATTAAAGACAGTTAATGTTTATATTAGATGAGTCATAAATAATAAGTAGCAGAATACAAAAAGCAGATAAAGTTTTGTAGTTCTATATCATTTTAACAAAACACTGGTGCAAAGGAAAGTTAATACTGGACAATGTGGAAAAACATTGAATTATGTTCAATGAGAATGTTTTGTGAACATCAGAACCAGTGTTTCTTTAGTTAATCATTCAGAAAACATCTGCAGTATTAGGCAACTCCAGCTTTTTAAGGAAAGATTTTTAAAAAGTTAACTGCTGGTAGGAGACAGGACACACACTCAGGCCTCTGGTCAACAACCACAACCCCACTTATCTCTGTGCTACATGAGGGTGCTTTCACACCTGTAGTTTGGTTCATTTGGGGAAAAAAAAGAGAAACATAGCTGCATTTTAATTCAGGTCCAGTTCCTACAAACATACCCAGAGACGTAGCAAGTTATACTGCATCATCCGGACCCACATGACGAAATCAAATCCTAGTGACTGACAGACTAATTAACAATAATTAATAAACACTAAATAAACATTAACATTGTATAATGACAAACAGGTAGAGACAGGATGAAAAGGAAGTGTATGGTAAAAATATGCAGCTTGTTACTGTGGGATTGCTGTCACATATTTTTTATGGACTTAACGAACTAACAAAGTACTCAGAGTCAGCTACAAGCAGGGCAGGTATAAAAGCTTTTGCCTTATAGTCAGGAAAAACATCATGCTGACATGGTCACCAAGTTATATACAGTACAGCTGATCTTATACAGCTCAATTATAAGATTGCTTTCTGAAGAGATTTCACAATCAGCAGATGGATTTAATAGTAGTTTATATTTTGAAATCATGCTACATAATCACATCTGCTGTCATTTGCCTTAACACCACAGACCAACCTTGCCAGAGTCCGTTTGAAACACGCTTTTCAGGCATTCTCTGGTCTGGTTGTTTGGTCCACACACAGAATTCAATTGACAGCTTTCACACCAGCCCAAATGAACTGTACCAACCAGGCAAACGGACCTAGGTTTGTTCGGTTTTAACCAGTCCAAACAGGTTAGATGTGAAAGCACTTGTGTTGTCACGGCACTGGGATTTCAAACCATTTTCTATACCACAGGTTTCACATGCCGTAAAAGCCTAGCAAATGAGATGAGTGTTAAGAGGACAGCACTGTGACTAAGTGAGAGGAGCAGTGTGCATTTTCACTCACTGTCGGAGAGAAGAGAGAGCGAGGAAGAAGTATCGACAGTATTGATACTGCGGAAAATGTTGATTGAAACCGTTTCAAATATGCATCATTGTTATTCATCTATAAATCAATATTTTTGACAACACTAGAGAGTACCCTGAATGTCACACTATGCTACTTCCTTCTTTGCCACTGAATCTGAACACTGGAATTTGACGTACATTGTGTGCTGCAATACATTTGAAACACAACATATATATATATTCTACTGGTGATTTTTCACGTTTCAGCCTTTTGACTACAAATCCTGTTTGCTTGGTTTTGCAGCATAAGTCTGTTAAAACCCCTAAGTTTTGAAAAAGGCAAGAGACGGACATCTGAAAGTCTCACTTCTGTTTGAATAATGACTAATGGAAACATCAGAGCAGGAGTTTTACTCACCGGTGGCCCATGCAGACCATCGATACCAGGGATACCAAAGACTCCTGGTCGACCCCTTGTCCCATTACAGCCATCCACTCCTGGCAAACCAGGCTCACCTCCTGCTCCAGGGTGGCCCTGAACAATATAGTACAGTTATGCTGGTTGGTATAATGGCAGGATATTAGAAGCCACAAATATGACCTAGTTGAGAATGATAAAGAAATTATGCTGTACAACATAGAGAAAAACCAGGCCCACATCTACAGTGTGCCAAGATGTGACCACTAGAGGGCATACCAGACACAAGCTTCAAATCACTGCACCATTTACTGTGTAGGCTCCAATACCGTATCATAAATGTATGAAGTGGGCACTTACTCAGTTGGGAATACTGCATGATACATTTATGATCGCAAAAGTGTCGGATATTGCAATCAAAGATATATTCTAAATGCCTTATGGGGAAAAATAAGTGAAAAGTTGAGCTCTACAACTTGGGAAGTTGGTGCAATCACCTCAGACGGTTACTCACCTATACAGGATTATTATTATCAGTGCGACCTGTATGTGAGTTGTAAGGATTTGCAAATGAAATTTACAACAACAGTGTATTACTCACCGCTGAGCCATCATTACCAGGAAAACCAGGAACACCAGTCTGGCCCTGAAATGTAAAAAACATATGGGTACCAGTCATTCATTACAGGCTTACACCCCTTCTTTTTTCTCTATCACTGGCAATAAATAATTACATGTTAACATTTTGTATATGTTTAATAATGTAGACTTATTTTCATTATAAGCTGTACTTGCATGCAGTATCTGCCTCTGTTTCTACCTTAAGGTGAGACACTACAGGTGAATAGGGTAAAATTTTAAAATAATAGATATCATCATGAAACTTCCTCAGTTGATTACTTACAATAGTATGAAAAAAAATGTATTACAAGTTTTAAAAATGTGAATGTTTAATTATGAAAAATTAGACATTATCTCATTAAATGTCTAATTTGCATACATTTTAGGAAGATAAATATGAACATCTGATAAAGCCAGGTGCAAAATTATTTTTTCATTTTGTTTACTTATAAGATGAAAAAAAATTACAGAGGGATTTAAGGATATCTGCTTTTATTACCTAGAAAATATACTGTCCATAGCCTTAAAAAAATCGATTTTCGCCATATTGTTGGGAATAAAATGTCACATAAATCAGGCTAGGAATGACATATTAACAAATCCCCCTGGAAATATCTTCAGACTATAGCTAGGTATATAACTGGAACGTTTGGTGTACATAGGTACTACAGAGGCTGAGATGTTCGACTTGGAGTATGACAAAAAACTCATTTTGAGAAAACAGCATTCAAAGATTTACATTGGGGAATTTAATACATTTCTATTGGAAACAATTGCTCACAAACAGAATAAATGTTAAGGCCCTTAGTAATATTAATATAGTATATTTCAAGCTCATGAAAATTGATCATTTAATAACATGACAGGCATATAAGGCCTACAACAGTAGTAACCCAACTAATAAACTTATTGGCCTACACTGCACAATGATAACTTTTTGGTAAATTCGGGAGAAACTTACTGCCGCAAGTAGACAAAATGTAATAAAATAAATGTCTAAATGTATCATTTGAATGTTTTCTTTATAGCAGTTTGAAAGAATACATAGCGCAAAATCTCAAAATTGACCACTGCATGAAAAATCTATGTTTTTGCCCGCCATGTCTCGCCTTAAAGACAACACACACAAACACACAACGTGGACATGCATACTAACGCGGTCTCCTTTGGGCCCCTCTGGGCCAGGTGAGCCCTCTGCTCCCCTCCTGCCTTTCTCTCCGAGTGGCCCTTCACGTCCCCATGGTCCCATTGGTCCCGGGGGGCCTCGCTGGCCGGGCTTCCCTGGAGCTCCCTGCAAAAAGACAACAAAGACAAAAGTCATACAACTTCTAACTTCTGTTGTTGTGAGTAACACTTTCAGGATTAAGATTTGTTTTGCTAATCTTACTAGGCATTTAAAGTTTAGACAGGGAACATGTAGGTAATTTTGGAGTATTTCCCACAACTTAATACCTGTCTATTGAGTCAAATGAACTACAATTTAAAATATCAACCTTACATTTGAAAGAGTAATAAAGGACAGCTTGCCAATATGTAACAACATGAGAAGAATCAGTTCATACCCTTGCACCTTTGGCAGGAAGACACTGACATATGGAGCAGTCTCTGCCTTGACATGGGCCATCAATTCCTCCCTGAAACCAAAATCAGAGACAAACCAGAGGACTTCAATGTAGAGGAACTGATCATTACTGCATTTAAGAGGATGATGGAGACTGGCTGGGGCTGTGTGAATCTAAGCAGAGCAGAAGAAGAGGTCAAAGGGACATCAGTGGGCCCATCAGATAAGGCTGTGGTTTGGGCATATCTGACATTGCTGCATATTTTATAGCTTTGAGAATTAGCCTCCAAAATAAACACGTTTCCCTGTGGAGACTGGACAGTCTTGATTAGGAAGCTTTAAACAAATCAATGTTCTCACATAGACTTGGGTAAATAATGAGAACTCTGACCTTGATGAGAAAGAAAGCTCACAGCGTTTCACCACTCTCATAATGACATCTTCTTAAAAAACGAGTCCACACCTCCAGATGCTAAAGCATTCCCACCAAGGTGTGTGTGTTTTTGTGTGAGTGTGTACGGGGAATTTTACTGTGCCTGTGTCCCAAACATTTGGTAGTGTTTTCTCAAGCTAACTAAATATTTGGATGAATTAATGCTGGTGAAACTGAGGTCTATCGCACATCTGCTGTCCCACTTTCGCTTCTGGTCCAAACATTCAAGGGTTTCTCCTGCATCAGTCACGATGACATACTACAGTTGGCTGTGTCTTGGACAGGCCATTAGCATTAGGCAAACTGTAAAAACATAAAGAGAAGTAAAACCACTGGCAGGCCTCCATTGCTACACCAACATTCTGACATTACGTCCAGTCCAGCTTGAGCAGAGTTCGAAACTTGAGGACTTAATTAAATTAGGTAGCTATCATAAAAAGCAGAGTTGCTGAACACTCTGTAGTTTGGGGAGGATTTTAGAGAACGGCACTTAGCAAAACTTCAAGGCTGCATCCCTTACCAAAATTGTAGTATCTAAATTGACTTTAATACCTGTCAAACTTGTTGTTACTGATGTTGGTTGGAACTGTTTCTCCTCTAAAACAATAACAGTGCTATATGTGCTTTATTCTAAAAAGAAATAGTCATTGTTCCCGATGTTGTAACCTACTGGCATAACTTCTCTTCAGACCTGGACTGGAAGAAAATCTGGTGCCTACCCTCTAAATATCTTTTATAAATGAAGTTAAGAAAGTGACTTTCAAGATGATTCATCATTTCTATCCCACCAAGGTATTTCTACCAAGGTTTAAAAAGGACATTGTTGTGGACTTCTTACTTTGTCAAATGACTTCAGAAGAATTATGTCATCTGTTTTGGTCTTGTCCCCACTCTTGTATTTTTTGGCAAGATGTCTGATCTTTTATTTCCCAGTGTATTGATTTTGGACTTTTCCTTTCTGATGAAAATGTATTGTTTGGCTTTTTTACTTAGCCTTTTACCAAAACAAATCAATACTGTATCATCAATTTGATTCTATTCCTTACAAAATATCATATTCATAAATCTAAGTTTTGGTTAGCACTGTCGCCTCACAGGAAGAGGGTCCCTGGTTCAATCCCGGGTGCGGGAGTCTCTCTGTGCGGAGTTTGCATGTTCTCCCCGTCAGTGTGGGTTTTCTCTGCATACTCCGGCTTCCTCCCACAGTCCAAAGACATGCAGGTTAATTGGTGACTTTAAATTGTCCGTAGGTGTGAATGTGAGGGAGAATGGTTGTTGGTCTCTATGTGTCAGCCCTGCGATAGTCTGGCAACCTGTCCAGGGTGTACCCTGCCTCTCGCCCAATGTCAGCTGGGATAGGCTCCAGCCCCCCTGTGACCCTCAAGAGGATAAGCGCTTAGAAAATGGATGGATGGATGGATAATTTCACAAGTTTGTCAACTACTTTGATGCTAGTCTGGTAGTAGCTGATGTTATTAGTTCATTGGTTAAATAAATATTTTATGTCCATCCTTCTCATGTGGCACAGTAGGAATTGTTTTATTTACAGTGGTGTTTTTAGTTGGACGGAAATAGTAGGACAGTAACTAATTTTGTGACTAATACATTTCATAAGTAATTTTGGACCAATACAAAACCTGAAAATGACAGTTCATGTTGACATAACATTGTTGGCTATTTCACATTTCCCACGCAGTTTAACACAGGTAATAATCTGACAGGGTGCGTAGGTCTACCTGGTGGCAATATTTTACCTGGTGTCCCCAATTTGCTGCTCACTTCCGGGTTTGTAAGCTCTTTTAATATGGCTAACTTTAGCGAATGTTACTGTATGTTTTCAGCCAAAATAGCACAGTTTAATAGTTTGTATTCCTTTCAGAAAGATGTTTGGAATCCTGAAAGCCTGAGTTTGGCCAGGTAACATCACCATAACAAATGAATTACTGACACAGGGAGCAAAACTGTCTTCCTCGACAAGCTAGCAGTTAGCCATCTCTTACTGAAGAACCAAGCAGGACATATTGGTATAAATTGAATATAATATTCATAGCTATATTTTCACAAGTTTATAACCGCCTGAAACTAAGAACTGTTGTGTACAATTACCTTAGAGTGGGCTGGTTATATATTTTCATACAGAAAGTTCTCCTCGTAATCCGCCATTTTGTTTCTACAGTAGCCCAAAACGGACAAAATAAATACTGCTTGCAAATAGAGCGATCGGGCTGCTCGGGTTTTCGCGTCGGCCACCGTAGTTCTCCCACACAGTTGGCACACGGGAGAAGTTTCAGTTCACCTTTGGATGATATTAAATACTTAACTTCTTATTAGATTTTTTTATACTGAGGTTTGGTTTATAACAATATGGGTTACCCTCAAATTTGTCTTCTAAAAACAGACAAGTCAAATCAATGCTGTAGAAGTAGTCTGCAACAGGTAAGAAGCCACACAAGCATCAAATTTGTGCTAGCCATCTTCATTGCCAAAGGCTTTCAGCATGCGTATTATTGTTTTTCCATACTCAGGGCACTTGACTTTGTGAGCATGGGCTGCCCTCTCTGCAATTTTATAACAATTATATCAAGCCACTGACCTTAAATTGTAAAATAATGGTAAATAACAGCAGCATTAATCCAGGATTATTTTAATTTTCAAGTAGGCCTACCAAATGCCTTAAAACCACACTTTGTTTCTTTGCCAGAAGGCTATACATGCATATTTTGTTAACACATTTGTACTGAAAACAAGACAAACTCCCACAGTTCAAATTTCAGCGTGTTGGCTGAAAACATGTATGTTGCCAGCTCATGCTTGTATCCAGATGTTATATTTAGTATCTGCTAACAGTCTTTCGCACTTCTTTTTTTACATGATGCATAGCCTACAGCACATGTTATCTACTTAGCGGGGAATTTTGCATGTATACATTTGCATGTATCAGTCCAGGCAGTCCTGTACACTGTGCAGAAAAACTGAAGTTACTTTGGGGCCTCTATCACCAACACATAGGGAGCAACACATACAGTCTCCAGGTGCATCATGGACATCACGGATTTTTTTTCAGGGAACACTAGCTAACTAACACTAACACTAAAAGCCCAGATTTGTGCAAAACAGGAGCACACTGACATATAGAAAACTATTAACACCCAGTGACATAAAATGCGTCAGAAGCATCAATATCAGGATTATCTTGGCCAAGCATTGATGGTTTGTTGTTTGTTACAGGCCCAAACTACATTCCTGGCTACTGTAGCTGCAGCAATGTTTATGACAGTCAAGTTTTAATAAACTTCACGTGACAGATTTCAGTGCATGCAGTCCAATGCAACATCCTCATCCTCACAAAGTGGTCTCACCAAAAGCTGATGATTAAAAAAAAAAAAAAAAGTTTATGTAAGAGCTGTTTAACAGCTTTGCAAGTGCATGTGTTTCACCCAGTGTGCTTTAAAAGCATCTTTAATCTATTGAGGCACAAGTCCACTAAATAATTTAAACATAGTCTTGAAATCGGTCCCAGCAAAAGGTCTGATCTGTGTGCTCCTCGTCATACCTAGTCTTGTTTGGCGTGTATGTTGCCGCATTTTCATTGTCTGCAGTTTATTTACAACAAAATCCAGATAAAATAAAGCATTGATTGCTTTTGATTATGGTCAGTTGCTGCTGTGTCTTACAGTGTGTCAGATGTTTGAGTTTGGGAGAAAGGCACATGGGCAATGGTTATTCTCAGCAGTATGGTCATATACTACAGTATGTTTATATAACTGATTTTATTTGGAGAGTATTGGTGAAATATTCAAAGTATTGATTACAAGGTTTTTAGATTTTAAAGTTGTCATAGCATTGGGGTGGCTGTGGCTCAGGAGGTAGAGTGGGTTGTTGTTGGAAGATCAATGGTTTGATCCCTGGCGCCTCCAGTCCATGTGCCAAAGTATCCCTGGGCAAGATACGGAACCCCAAATTGCTCCGGATGGCTGTTAATGTCTAAAAACTGAGTAGCAGGTGGCACACTGTATCGTCACCTTGGCCACCACTGTGTGAATATTTGTGTGAATGGGTGAATGTGACTCGTAAAATTGCTTTGAGTAGTTGGAAGGCTAGGTTGGTGCTAAACACGTGCATGTCCATAGTGGTGATATGTTTTAATTTAAATGTGCATGTGATGAAAACTTAAAAAGGAAAGTCTTACTGCATTGAGCTGCTGCACAAAGACGACCAGGATGAAGATCCACCTGTGAATGTAACAGATGTGATAGATTAACTGTAGTCTCATTTAGCCCCAGCAACTGGATGCCATTACACGATAATAAATGATAAGAAGAGGCACGATTAGTGAACACTGAAAAAGAAAATGCTTGCCTTAATTTAATCTGAAAAAACTCCACTTGCTAAATTGTTGCACATTATCTTCAACCTTATAGCCAGAAAAAATATTGGCATTTTACATCTCTGCAAACCACAGATATGCAACATTTATGTATCAAAAGTGTTGAAACTTACATTTCTTTACATTTCAACTATGCTCTTGTAAATGTAAGGTAAGGTTTAGGTACAAAAAACACTTGGTTATGGTTAAGAAAAAATCATATTTTGGCTTAGAATACCCGGTTTTGGTGCCTCAATTGGCACCTGAAATGGTGCCTTTGTCTCACTAAAACACACGCCACTTTGGTGCCACTATCACCACTAGAAATGGCACTGATGATGATCTGCTTTTAGGTCTGGAACCTCCCGTCTACAACAGGCTTGAGACGCGCCCACATTGATTCTGGAGTTACTCTCTTATCCTGAAGCCTCCTTAAGGAATCTGATCTTGATTTGGTGGTGGGAATCTCTTGTGAACACATGCCTTTGCTGATGTAGACCCCAGCAGAATTTGAACCCTGAACCTTCTACATAGAGGACCAGTGCTCTAAGCACTACACTAGGGAGGCCCCTAGAAATGGTTCTGATGCTGTGCTAAAAAAAAGTTTTTACCTCAGTCACTCGCAGAAATAGTGCACTCAGTCTCATTAAAAAACGCACAGTTTTGGTGGCACTATTTCCACTAGAAATGTTGCCAATGTCTCTCCAAAAAACAACCGGTTTTGGTGTCACAATCGCTCATATAAATGGTGCCAGTGTTTCTACAAAAAACACAGTTTTTGCGGCACCGGAAATGGTGACGATATCTTGCGAAAAACACCCAGTTTAGGTGGCACATTCATCACTGGAAATGCTGTGATGTGTTGCCAAAAAACAAAACAAAACTGGATTTGTTATTTGTTAGTCTCAAACAGTGGTCTACAGTTTGGCAGCTGTCTCACTGAGGTCTCACACCATCACCCACTATCTCCTCCACTTCCCAATGACAACTATGTCACTAGAAACATTGATGATACATATAAAATAAAATATACAAATGCAACATATTTGTCTCCAGGGACATACATGTGTTGCTCTTGTGTGCAGGAGAACTAAATCTCCACCCAGAGAGAAGGAAAGCAAAAAGCATGTTGTCTATCCAAACTACCATCACACTGCAGGTGACACCATCTCAGTATGGTGGAGGTCAGTTCTTATACAGAATCTTCACGTTGGAATGCAAGTATGCAGATGTGTTGAATGTCTGAGTAAACAAGCAAGACGTGTGTTTGTATTCAGGTAAATAGGTTTACATAGTAGGGGAAGTGATTTCCGTCAAATTTAATAAGAGATACCTCCTTATGTTTATGTTTTTCTGAGAAAATATTCCCAAATAAAAAAATAATAAAATGAAAATAGTACAAATTTTAAATTGGAAAAAGATGCATGTGGGAAAAATGTCACAAAAAGTTACTATTATAAATCATCACCAGATATGGGTGCTGCTACAAATACCACAGTGATAAAATGCATATCATATTGTTGTTATTGCTAATAATAATTCATTACTATTATGGTTGCAGTGGGACTAACCTGAGGGGGCACAGAGACACAACTGTAACTGGGGATCCCATCTTCTGTCTCATCAATCTGCTTAACAGGTGAGTGTAGGTCTCACTGCTGCCCCCTGTGGCGGATAAAAGCATGAAACACCAAAAACACCTGTGAACCACGATCCAGTTGATAATATGTGACAGTGCAGATTGTCTGTGAGGTCAAATGTACATGCAATGAAGATGTAAAAAATCTAAGCATGCTACTGATGAAGACATTGTTGGTGCTGCCCTCCCACCCAGGTAATCTCCTCAGGCATCTATAGGTAGCAGTCCATCATGCACATAAAACAACTTTCAAAACTCACCCAAATTCAGAAGTTCACATTAGTCTTCATGAGCGCTTCAGTGCATCCTAAGCGGGATAATCTCCGACAAGATTCAAACTAATCTCCTGCCTCCGTATCAGTGGAAACCAAACAGAGTAGCTGCCACTGTTTGTAAGTATCGGGGATGAGACCAAGAGACGGATGATGATTGGGGTGGACCGCATCACTAAGCTCAGAGCGCCTCCCTCTTCAGGATCAAGTTAAACAACTTTCCTGGGTTGTCTTGTCTATCAAGGCACCATTGCCCAGACAGAGAACTTTAATTCAGCTGTAGCCATGACCTAACATCACCCAGTGGATGGGTGTAATGTGAGGGGTAGTTGCTGAGGAGGACGCTGAAAAAGACATCCATTACCTCTGGGGTGTGTGTGTGGTAAGCTGCTGAGCTTTTGATGTAACTGGAGCAAGAAAAGAGCCATGGGGAGGCCAGTGTTTGAAGTTCCTCTGATCCTGTTGGCTGTGATGTTGATGGGCACTGGAGCCAACAATGTAAGATGTTTAATTTTTCCTTACTTACTATAGCGCTGTAGAAAGAGCTGATTTAATTTAGCCAGCAGCACAGTCTGGACAGGTATTGAAATGCAAACACTATTTTTTATTTGTGCTTTTCTTCCATACTGTAACTGCAGAGATTAGGGGTGGCTGCTTGTTAATTTTTAAAATAATTCTCAATTCTGTTTTGTATAACTTCACCTTTCTCTTGCTGAGTCTCCCTGGTAACATAAAAGTCCACTAAATCTGTGTTTACGGGAGAACAGCATCACTCTGTTACAGCGTGCTCCTTGCGTGTGTGCTGTTGTGTACAATGTGAGCACCATTCATTCTCCACAGCTTTAGCTCTGATATACAACTGCTGTGGTCTGTTTGTAACTGCAGTGTCGGTGCTTAACTTGAAACATGGTGTATCCTGAAGAGATGCAGGTTGCTTGCAGTCTAGTTTACTTCATTGTGTACAGTATGCACTTCACTGGGCTATGTTGGTGGGCTCTTTTATGGAAGGCCGTGGAAAGGGGACAGGATATGGTAGATGGAAAATAAGCAAAAGAGGCACCCGGCACTTGACGGAGACGTAAGCAGACATTTGTATAGTTTCTCTGATAAAAAAAAAAACACGTTGTACATCACCAGACTGAAAAAGAAAGTAAAAATAAGCAGAGGAAGCTTGTGAATGATGAGGAAATCTACATTTTTATGCTGTTAAAGCCATGGCAAAACACATCTCCAACCTTATAACGTCCACTTTATTCCACCTTTAATTATCCATTCATGTGCACAAGGAAATTGAATGTTACAGTAAAAAGGCAACTATTAAATGAGTCAAAGAGAAATTGTATCAGACCCAGTATTCCCTCTTTTTGTTTGGGAGCAATGTACTCTGGTTTATGGCTCAATCTCCACAAGGCTAAGGTGAATTGGAAATTTAATGCATCTGAATTATTCACATTAACCAATAATGGTTCATTATGTCAGTGGCTTATTATAACCTATAGCTGACCTGTTATTTAGCCCGCAGTCAGACAATCCACAGCACTTTTTTTACACTGTTTTACTACTGTGGCTTCACTTTTCTAGTCTTTCAATAAAGCTTTTGCTTTTGCTGATAAGCAGTAATGTTTACAGCTCTTAAATTAAAGGCCACTGTGTTGGACGGAGACACAGGAGGTGTTAGCTCTTAACAGTGGAGAGTTATGGATGTTGTTTTGGCAAATTGCATCCACAAATCCTACCGAATTAATCCTCCCTTCACTGGGCAAATAACAAATTCTTCATCAACTTAATGCTTGTAGAAGTTGTAATTTATGTGTAATGATTTGGATCACTCAAAGCAGCAGACTGCCATCAGTAGCTGTGTAGGGTGAAGCCTGCTCGGGGGCATAGAGCCATTAGGGGGGCGTACACATGACAGCAGGAGGTGTTAAAGGGTAAAGGGAACTAAAGCTGAAAGTATCAACCAGACAGAAATCAAGAGTGCTTTCACACTGGGGAGGCTTTTAAGATTCAGGATCACTCACGTAGTTCACCTTCAAATGTCTGGTAGCAGTTTCCACATTACGGTGAGTGGTTGATAGAAATGAAATAGGGTCACAGTGGTATGGAAGAGGGGGGGCTTAGAGGGCTCGACAACATACATAACTCTGTCCTTGGACCCTCACAGCAGATAAGGGAAAAATCCACAAAATACTCTTTAATGGGCTAAGTGTAAGTCATCTCCGGAAGAGCAACTGAGGAGATATCCCTCTTCCAGAACAGACGAACGTGCAATTGTTGTCTAACCTAATAAATTACAGTATAGACCAGGGGTGAACTCCCCCGCCACAGGGTCCAATGCGGCCCAAGATGACTATACTAAGACCAACCTCTGACCCGGGAGGGCAGAGACAAAGGATGGCAGGCATGGCTGTTCCCTGTGAAAACATAATGCAGAGGCTTTCCTGCTGAATCAGTATGGCGGCTGCTGTCGGTTCTGGGCCTGGACGAGAAGAGCAACAAGCAAGCTGCTCGTAGGATGGGGGCAGAGGCTGAACGAGCCTCCTGCTGGTTATGGAGCAAGAGAGAGGAGGATAGCTGGAAGCCAGGATAAGATGGGCAGCTGCCGACCCACCAACTGGAGAGTGTTGCGCTTAAAGGTCGAACACTCGGTGAAGGTTGGGTACCACCTGAGGACATCTGGTCCTGGTTGAAAGCTACAGTAACCCAATGTGGTAACCGAGGAAATCACCCAACAGGTGTATTTTGCAGCTTAAGAGGTGCAAGGTTTCAGGCTGTTCATCTGTTTTGTAAAAGGATGAAGGTCGACAGAATGTACTTGGAATTCTTTACACAATAAAGAAAAAGTATTGGAGCTGATGGTACTTCTAGGTTATTGTGCAATAGTGTAGTAAAAAAATTAAAACGAGTTTAACATGCCTGGTATAGACAAACCATATGCCGGAATGATACAGATTATTTGGGCACTGTTTCCCATTTACACAAGACATATTGAAGAATGTTACAATTTCTTTTCAGTGTGTGTGCAATGGGAGATCAAGGTGCCGCTGTGAAGGAGTGAAAGGCAGCAAGGTGAGTGGATCATCTATTGTCTGCCTCATGCAGTTTTGAAACAACTGTATTTCATATATAACTCACTCCTAAAGAGTTACATTTAAAGTCACAATTATAGTGCGTTTCCACCCGTAATTCAAGTACAATACACCTCAGCTCATGTACATGTACTTTGATGCAACTACATTATATAATCAGACTGACACACTTTTATTTATTTATGTTTACACCTGTGCTTTTCTTACTGTGACATATGAAAATGTATTATGTGTAAAAGACTGTATCTGTTAGTATTACCACATGAATACTATTGTTCTTCTAACATTTCTACAGATTTTAAAAAGCTTTCAGAACAGACCTAGCACCAGGGGCCACAGTGCTATTGTCTCACAACTGCATTAAAAACAGCACACTGTTCAGCGGTTTCCACAATCAAGACGCTTCAGGTGCAGTTGTACAGCGCTTATGAAGTGTCTCTACATTCTTAATAATTATTTTACCACTGTAGAGAGAGACCAGCTGTTTCATCGTAAATCAACTTACAGTGAGCTCCGAGCAGAGACAGCAGAACACATGAAACCTTGTTAGTCTACTACAGTTCAGCTTCAGTGGTGCTCTGCAAAAAAAATCCTGTGACTGTACAGACTGTATGTTCATGGCAAAAAAATGCAACATGTAGTTTTCATTTTCACTTTGCTAACATCAGTCTTACTGTCAAAAGCACCCCCCCAGTCTCTGACAACAATTTAACTATATAATTAATCAGTTTGCTGCTGTTGTTACAGGTTTGTTTCCAGTAGTAATAGTTGGAAATGTTTGAGTGAACAAGCTTCTATTTTCAACCACAATGCACAGATATGATTTTACATCTATAAATCAAAGTTATGCATGTGAAAATAGGCACTGGCCTTCATTGCTGACATAAAATAATAAATTATCCAGCAGCAGCAGTAATGTTGTGTACTAAAGGAGCTGTACGACTTTCAGAGCCGGGCCCAGATTGCCTTTTCACCTCTGACCTCACAAGCAATCATCGGGGTGGCTGAGCGGAAATACTGGCGGCTCACATGAAAGGCCTTCAACACTGAGTCCGTTTTTTTTGTCACATGTCTAAAAATAAATCCGACTTCACGTTGTGTCAATTACGTTTCCTGCATTAAAATTTTCAGAACAGGTTCGATTTTCTGCGTTTTCACATCCGTCGGATCCTTCAGCGACGTTTGACCAAGAATGAGTGAAGAAAATGTGGCGGCTGGACACAGCCAGAGGAAGAGACAGAGGAACAAGTATCACAGAGTCATTTCATAACTCAGATAGCTACTTTCACCAAGTCAGATAGTAATATTCAGGTGGATGATATTGAGGAGGAGGAGGATGTGGACTGCACACAGCATGTGGAGGACAGCTCCGCCCCTTCATGCAGCTGTGGTGCCAATTGAAAGACACGGGGAGGGAGTGGTGACAGCCAGATAGCTAACTCCAGTGGAGAGAGGCAAAGGAGGAAACACGTCTTTTAATTTTGTCACGTATCGCAAATTTTCACAACAAATAGAACAATGAAATGCATCAGTATCAGTGTGTAAGGTTTCTGTGCGTGACGATTTCTTTTGGATGACGGCTTAAAAAAAATACATCCAAAAAAACGGACTCAGTGTGTGAAGGCCTTAACAGTGTTAACTATGGTAATAGTGCTAACAATGGCGACAGTGCTGAAAGAGCTAAGAGCATTAACCTCAGGGGGAACCATGTGGTGGGCATCATGCTTCCATGACTATGCTGTCCTGGACCCACAGTGGCAGGTGATGACTGCCGTATGAGCGCGGTGCAGAGCAGTGGCAATTAGCTAGCAAAAGGGACATAAAAGAAGAGACTCACATGCACTAACATGAAAGCGTGCCCGACTTAGCTACCAACACAAAGAACAGACAAGGGAGCTTGACTTCATTTCCTGCTCAGGACGCCATTACTCCAGTGTATCTTTATATAGCAAACAGTTGTTCGATGCAATGTTTGTTCTAAATGCGGTATATTGCACCTTTAAGCATCAGCCTCCCAGTAATATTTCAACAAAAATCCTACAGTCATTTATCTCTTTCTCTCACTTTCTTTCTTTCTCTCACACACATTAACTCACACTTACAGGGAGACAAAGGTTTTCTAGGACTTCCAGGTCCCCCAGGGCCAGGGGGCCGTCCAGGACCAGATGGTCATGCTGGACCTTTGGGACCAAAGGTAGAATTTCAGCCTGGCTCTTGTGGCTGCTTCGCTCTTATATTCCGTATATCTCTAAATCCAACACTGTTGTCAGAGGGCAACATTGACTCAAACTGTGTATAGACCATGATGAATTACAGTTTCTCTTTGTGTTTCCAGATATCACTTTCAGTTGTGCTTATGCTGCATCTTACCAAATCACTAAGATTAATTATAGGTTTCTGTCTTTGACAGGGCAACACTGGGCCCAATGGACCTGCGGGGCCACAAGGCGATCCGGTAAAATAACTGTGTTATTCAAGCTTGTGTCTGTTGAGTGTTGATTTGATGTCTCAGTGCGTGAAAATTGAGTTGAGAAAATAGACATGTGTGGAGTAATGTCTCATGTACTGGGTTGGATCCCCATTTGCCTTCAGAACTGCCTTGATTCTTCGTGGCATTTGTGTTAGTGAGCAGTTGAACAGGTGTACCTAATAAAGTGACTGATATATGTATGTGTATAGACAAAGTGCAAATATTGTGGTAGACTAGGTATCCACTCATTGGCTTTTAAAAAGTAAACTGGTTTTGTTACCGTCTTTACAGGGACCTGAAGGCAAAGAAGGATTTGCTGGCTCTCATGGTTTGCCGGTGATGTATCTTACCCTCTATATATCCATGTCACGCTGTTCATTATCTGATTTATGCAATGTGTAAGTGCATGTTCCTGCATATGTTTATAGATACCTGTTACTTTTTGAACTTCTACTGTTATTCTCTTACAGGGTATTCCAGGTTTACAAGGACCTCCGGGACCTCCAGGAGCTCCAGGCTGCAATGGAACAGATGTAAGAAAATATTACATATGAACAGTGGTATGGTGGCATTGCTTCCATGTGATAATTTGACTCATTTGTCAGATGCTTGCATAATGGAGCTTTGAGTCAAGAGCTTTTTCCCTCACAACTTTGTAAACTTCATTTTGAGCACTTTAAACACATTGCATACTTTTAGGGAGAGGATGGACCTCCTGGTGTTCCCGGGGCCCACGGGATTGATGGACATGCAGTAGGTTATTTCTGTTATATGTTGTAATCAAATACAATGTTCTGATTTCTTATCACCTTCATTCTTTTGTTGTTTAGTGCCGTCCTTAAAATGAACCATCAAGGTAAATGTTTACTGTTTGAAATTTTTGCTGCAGCTCTGTCTTTCCTTCACAGGGTCCACCTGGTGCGCCTGGGCCTAAGGTAATAAAGTGTGTGCTGTGCCACCCACGGTCAGTCGTTTAGTACTTTTTAAATTTAGGACGGGTGAAGCTGCAGAATTGCTCAGCAATTACTGCCTTTCAGGAAGTTTATTAGCAGGATCCTGATGCACCAAGAAAAACATGACGCTGCACTAGCAGGTGGCCTCTCTGCCTCCCCGAGCTCCCAGAGCTCATTTTCTACCTAGTCCGTGTGAGACCAGTAACTTGTTTAAAGATTTTTCTTTGTTTTGTTCCTCCTATCAAGTCCATCCTTCCACTTTTATTTGTAGCAACAAATGTGTTCATTCTCAAATCTAATTTTCAGGACAGAAGCTCTTTATGTTATTTGTATTGACAAGAATGCTAGCACTGAGTGTTGCCAGAGTAAACATTATAGACCTTCGACATCAGAAAGTAAGATTTCTTGTGAGCATTATAATGATTTTCTGTAGCAGGCTTTGTATTTGGGTATGGATCTGCAGACTCTGTAGTCATCTTTGTGTATCTGTGTGGACTGATAATTTGCATGCACCTGCTCAGACAATCTGCTCATGGACAATGCATGTGAGGGTGCCAAAAGCATGTTTAGCTAAAGGTGTCAGAACTCTGCAGTCTTCCAGTTTCCTAGCTTTGAATATGAGCTCCATTGGGAGATATGTTCAGCTGAGACTAACTACACAGAGGGTCTCCCCCGCCCTGGGTTCGAACCAGAAACCACTGTTCCACCGTGCCGCCCACTCACATAATATGCAAGTACATGTTCTCCCCGTAAATCAAGTCTTGTCGAATTATCTTCCACATTTGTGGCTCCCAGGCAGAGGAAGTTCTTTAGTTTTGCTTGCTATGGTTTAGCATACAAGTACAACAGATTCCTATTCGGCTACTCCCTAATCCCCACACCTTCTCTCTGTTTAAACAAATCTTTCAAACTGCTGCAGCCATTTTATCACTTTGTTCACTTGACAAGGTGTCAAACACAATCAGGGTTCACTATGCACAGGAGCAAAAGCACTATAATTTGACCTATGACATCACACACAGTACTGTACGTTACCATTGGAGTACAAATCCTGGCAGAATAAATATTTCTGGAGAGAATGTGTTCATAGACACCTCCATGAGAGTATGCATGATGAGGCCAGCAGCAGTGTGGACTCCAAATGAGAGTCAGGGCTCAGATGTGCACTGGCAACATGCTCGGGCCTCTCGTCAGCCTCTTTTTAGCACTTATGAGTGGGAGAGATTACTGTGTGAGAGCCCTTGTGTCACCATTTACACCTCTAATGCTGTGTTGTTAGGTCTGTGTCATGGCAGTGGATGCTTACTTACCCAGCTTGGGCAACCTTAAGCCTGTTGAAACTCTTTAGAGGGCAAAGCCTGTGTGAAATAGGCTGTCATTTGTAACCCTTTTCCTGCAAGCACTAGTTGCTGAATTGGTGAATGAGAAGTAGGGTTTATGCGGTCGTTTCATGGAGGAAACCCCTCATTCTGATTCTGAGCACACGCATGCATGACAGGTGCACAGATACATAAAGATGAGTGATGAAGGCTGCAGAGCCAAACTGTGAACTGGAGTTAGAATATGCAACTGTGAAATATTATAACATCCTCCACACAGTATCACTATATACCTGTAATTATCAGGTATGCTAACGCTATATTTAATAGTTTAAACAACAAAATGTTAAATAAACTTGCTGCCTGGATTTCACAGGGTGAATCTCGGGTATCAGTGGGTGCAATACCAGGGCCACCTGGGCCACCTGGGAGGGATGGAGTGCAGGTAACTTTTTGGATTGCATTGATAATAACGATAGAGTTCTGTTAATAACGTTAATGTTTTATGTATTTATATGAAGAGGAAGCCTCCTTTGTATTTCAGGGGGATCCAGGTCCCCCTGGACAGCATGGACCACCAGGAAACCCTGGACCATGGGGCCCTGTTGTGAGTGAGGTTTATCCGTTGTCTTGCACAGAGTATTGCACTCTGGAAAAGTTATTATGTGATGTTTGATATAACTGTCTGCATTCTTTATGAACAGGGGCTTAGTGGCCGTCCTGGGGCTCCAGGATCTAAGGTAACGCTAATAAATATGGATGAACACTTTGGGTATGTGTGTGCGTGTTTGACAGCTTTTACCGCTGATTATAAGAGTGTGAGTATATACTGGGCGCCTAAGTGGCACAGAGAAAAACCACAGCTGCAGGCTTTTTGTTTTGGCCTGGTTCTCCAATTATCATACTTAGCAGTGTTCACACTACCTGGGAATGTGGAAACATTTCCTAGCTGTTGCTGTTTTTTCGCATGGCAGTATTTTGGAATGTGTTGAGAACATCTACATGTGATACGGTTTCCTGTGAAACTCCTTTCAGTCAGTGAAAATGGTGGTGATAGGATGTAGCGTATTAGAGGAGGGCAGGCTAAACCCATCGGTGGGATTTGGCAGTGACAAGGATGTTAAATGTGGGAACCAAACTAGGATTTTTTTAGGAATACTGGGAGACTAGATTATTTATATAAACAAGTTACAACTGCTTTCCCATCCCTCAGGGACAAGAGGGTATAGGTGGTATCCCAGGACCTCGCGGACCAAAGGTAACTCCTTTTTTTTAAATACACTGTTACAGTATATTAATAAGGTTATACTCAATTAAAGAGGAAAGGATGCTGCATCGATCGCACAACCTATAGCACTGACCATCTCTGTGACATAATCATGACATTACTTGTGTGCATTCTTTACATTTTTATGTTTGAGGATGATGTCAGTTTGTTTGATGTAGGGGAGAACAGGACCGCGAGGACCACCGGGGCCACCGGGTCGGATCAAGGAGTTTTTAACTGAGAGTGTTGTGTTAAAGGTACAGTAACAGACTCAGATCAAATCACTGTAGCACTTACATATTTCACAACATGTAGTTTCCTGTGTGTTTTTTTTAATTGCCCTGAATGATAGCACCTATAAAGTCCATTTGAGACTTAGCTAGTGCACGAAACCCAATGGTGTCACACTCACACAAGCTGGAATGCTTTCCAAAGTTTGCAGGTGCTGTTTGAATACCAGGTTTTAAAACTCAACCTCCATTTAGTTAAGGTTCAAAAAAGGCCAGGCAAAAGTGCAAATTTCTCCTACATGAAAATGGAAAAAGTAAAAGGAAGAAAGGGAAGAGATCAGTTGATAGGTGGGCTGTTAACATAGTGACCTTAAAGTGGCGTTAGAGAAAACGCTGACTAAGTGTCCAAAATGGAAAGACTAATCCTCATCTTCAGTAAATTTCATTCTCACCTTTTCGTTATAGTTAGATATTCCTCTGTAGATGGAGTGATGGTGGCAGTAAAGGAAAACTAGCTGGAATATTAAGAATCTACCTCGAGGGACTATGGATGTCCACAGCAGATTGGCTAGATTCAAATATCTTGGTCTATTTGGGACCAAAATGTTGGACAGAAAGACTTACAGGCAACATTATCCTGGAAACTAATGAACTCTAACCTGAGGTCTATGTCCTACTCAGGGTGAAAAAGGAGACAGAGGAGATGTAGGCGGAAAAGGCTGCAAGGGTGAACCAGTAAGTATATACTTTACACTTGCCCTTTTTGATTTTAATATGTGCAAATATCCTCCCTGATGTTTGTGATCTCTGTCCATATTTCAATCTGTTCCCAGGGAGACCCTGGCTATTATGAAAAAGGAGCAAAGGGGGACAAAGGAGAGCATGGTCCAGATGTGAGATACTACATCCCATTTATTCTATTCAACACTTTGAGAATAGCCAAAAAAAAAAGGATGATCAGCAGAGGGCAGTAATACAGCATTAAACTCAATGTGATTTGCCACAGTGCCACACAGGAAAAAGAAAGGAGAGAACAGAAAGAGAGGAGACAGCCCTTATTCAGTGTCCCTGTGTCTGTTAAACATATTAAGGTGTAACACCTGGAGGACAGACAGAAGGCACTCAGGCACTCAGATAAATGCAGGTTTTCATCAATTGTGCATTAGTTTGAAAGCATGTAAAGTAAAGGTGTGTTTGTTTACTTGTAATTAATGTAGCAGAGTGAATGGGACTAATGTGCTTGCTTATCTTGAATGTGTTTCATGTGGTTTGGTTTCGACACAGCTTTTCCCTTAATCAACAGTTTCATCCTATTGTAGGCAGCTGAAGTACCTTTAAACTTAAAATCAATCTATGTACACCATTTCATCATAATTCTGTTGCTAGAAAATCAGTCCACGTTACAGTGCACAGTAGTGCCGCTACCCCTTGTACTGTAGCTCCCTTTTTGAAGGCCCACCATCAAAAGAGCATCAAAAACAGCTGCTCTGAAATGAGAGAAAGGGTTAAGATCAAATATCGGGACAAAATCTTCCACGTTGAGGTGGGTACAGCTTTGCTATGCCTTGCAATGTTTATTACGACATTGAGAGCGCCCCTAAAAACATAGTCCATAGCTGTGGTCGATCTGACCTCATTGGATCTGAATGTATCTGATTTTTGGGGGGAATCAATGCAACCCAACATGACTGAGAATTTCAAATCTGAGCATGTGTGCCATGCACTTTAGCACTGTCGTCTCACAGTCAGACGGCCTTTCCCAGACCACCTCCTACACCCCTCTCTGTCCACTTTCACTCGGTTTCTGCGTTCACACGCAGGGTCCGCCACAGTGAGTGCTGTCCCAAACCAATCAGTGAAGAGTGGAAGTGACTTATGAAACCCTCCGATGCCAACTTATGGACCACGTGCAACGGTGTATTGTTTGTCATGAAGACGCTCAGAACAAATTAGGTTCCATGTGACTAACTTTGCAAACGAAAACTGCTCAAACTACAATACACACTGAATAATGTCAGGCATTAACATCTTAAAGGTTACATTGAATTTAGAATAAGGCATGCCCCTCTCTAGTCAGTGGAAAACAGATGCGTTCATTTGATTGTAAAGTGTTGTACATTGTACTGTTAAAGGAACGGTTGCAAAAAAACAAGCAGCTTAAGGTATAAATACAGCAGCAAGCTTTGGGACAAACATCCCTCTCTGTGGCAGAAAAAGCAACTGTCGTAACTTTTCATATTCATGAAGAAAAATCAATAAATTGATAAATTAATAAATACAAATTAGGTACATAAATAGATATACAACTTACTACTAAGCTTCTTTGGTGGCATTTCTTGCCTTTTTTCTGTAAACATCTTCTTGTTTTTCACTCTGATCTTTAATAAAGGGTGCTTCAATCAGCTGTGAAGGTGACCACAAATGGAGTCACACTCTGTGACGGGGTGGGAGTGGGTAGGGTATGGTTTGGGAAAGGCCCAGAGGGTTGTGTTTGTATCTACCGGCCGGCTGGGGCCCTTCTGTGTGTGTGTGTGTGTGTGTGTGTCATTTGTTTTTGAAAATAACGTTAGATCAGTATTAAATAAAAAAAAAAAATGCAGGGTTGAATGTCCAAAATGTGGTTCAGAGACAAAGGAATTATAACAAAAACAGTTAAAGGGCCACTTTTCAAATGATAAAAATAATGACTGATCTATCATTAAATTTTTGTGTGTTCCCTTTAGTGTCCACTGAGTTTGACTGAGATAAAAAATGTGTTTGTTTTTCTTATTTCTGTCATGGTCACAAAAGCTAAACAAGCTGAAGAATCACCCAGATAAAGCCAGATTTTTTTGATTTGTCACACAACATGAAGACAACGGGGACATCTCAGCTGCAGACTTAAAACTACTGTCATTTTGTTTTTGTTAATATTTTATTTTGAAGGCGTGTGGCATTCACCTGAACTGAGGAAGTACTTTTAAAGAAGGGGCGGGCCTCTGCTAATCACATCCATCCATGTGAAATGAAAGAGGGGTTTTCATGATTAGTGGCATGTAATGTCAACCACAAACACATTCTGAATAATAAAATAAATTGAAGGATGCCTTTTGTCCTTACAGGGTAAGCCAGGGAAGGATGGTGGCCCTGGACGAGACTTTAGGGTACTGTTCTCTGTACTGTTCTATGAGTGTGTATGTATGCAGAGTCATTATGGTATCATGTTTGTGTGGCATTTGAATACAGTACTGTTTTCTTTAGGGGATTCCTGGTCCCAGAGGTGATCCAGGATATCCAGGGACACAAGGAGAGACGGTCTGTAATCTTAGTGCCAAAAACAGTCCCCAGTCCCCAGGTATGCTTTGTGTTATCATCCTTTGATAGTATGCTCTAATATTTAGGGTGAAAAGGGAGATCGGGGTCCCCCTGGTCCACCTGGAGATGTGAGTCTATGCTTTTTCCAATGTTACGAGTAAATCCAGCTGCTCTTGAAGAACCACCGTGATTTCACTACATGCTTCCTGTGGTTCGGTTTACAGATATATGTGACTGAGCCACTCAAAGGATACCCTGGAGATCCTGGTTTCCGAGGCCCGCCTGGGCCCCCTGGGCGTCAAGGTAGATGAACATAATGCTGTGTAATAAGCCAATTTAGACAAAGTGAGATGAACGACAAATAGATCCAGCAAAGGCTAAAGTTGGTGTGATGATTGAGTTGTGACATATTCTATTGTTGTAGTGTGGTAGTTATAACTCTGAAAACTAATGTTTGCTCTCACTTCACATGCATATACAGAAATAATATGAGTTATCATTACTTTCTTAGGTGTTGAGGGATTTCCTGGACCTGACGGACCTCCAGGTGTGTAGTGAAGCTATCTATCTATCTATCTATCTATCTATCTATCTATCTATCTGTGCTGTATTTAAAACACACAGTATAAATAGGTTTGACTTTTGGTTTCCTGAAATATATTGCCAACATTCTCTTCCTTTACATTACACAGGCCATTCATCTGGGGATTATGTGCCTGGCCCACGTGGTCCCAATGGCTTTCCGGGCAGCAAAGGAGACCCTGGGGAGCCTGGGGATATTTTTCCTGGACTCCCAGGTCTAAATGGGGATGATGGGGATCAAGGGCCTCCTGGGGATCCGGGCCCGCCTGGACCTCCTGAAGACAGAAGTATGTGGAAATGTCCTCTTAAAGGTTATTTAATTGGAACTGCTACAGCTACTATTACCACTGCGAATATTGCTTCCACGTTCAGTAATACTGACAGTTATGTCAAATATCTTGATCGATTCAACAAACTTCTTGCATGGGTGATAGTGCTTTATGTTTTCAGTTATGTCAACCTCTCCTTTTTGAAATTTTTTATTCTATTGTCTTATACAGTGTCACAGTAAGCTTATGGGGGAGTTATTAGACAAGCGTGTTGACATGGGATTTCTACCAATATTGTCATCCTTTGAGTATCATTGGTCCTCTTTTTAAAGCTCACTTGCTTTCTTCTCTTTTCTATTATGTAAAGATAAAATGTCAGCAGTGTTTTTACAGTATTGTGCACAAACATGAGCTTTATGTGACGGACAAAGCACCAGGCTTTGTGTTTCACAAATGAACCAACATTTATCAAAGACTACACAGAGAAACATGGTCAAGGTTCATATTCAAACTGTTGCAGTTTCAGTGTGTGGCAGGTACATTGATCAGTCAGTCATATCGGCTTTGCTGTTGGTTCTGTTTGTAGCTAACAGGATTACCAAGGGTCTCCCGGGAGCGAAGGGAATGAGGGGTGCACCTGGACATATGGGACATGATGGGATGTATGGAAGGAAAGGTGGGAAACCAAGTGTCATTCATAAATTAATTGCTGCTATTCAGTTTTTGTTCAAATTGGTTTGACATCTATTCTGGCCTGCTAATTCCCCTCATTTGTCATTAAAGTATGCTGATAGACTATTACGTGCAGTTGTTGCTAAACAGCAGTTCATGCAGCTCTTTAATGGACTGAAGAGAGTAAAAGGAGATAATGTCAGGATGAGGAAAACATAATATTGTGTTATATAAATGAGACTCAGTAAAGACATTCCCATGGCTTTTCTTTGTTTAGGAGAGAAGGGGGAGCCCTGTTATGAGTGTATCGGATCAGGACCCCCAGGACCACCGGGTCCACATGGTCCACCAGGCATCCCTGGTAAAACCATTCACTGCATTAAAACACACAGATTCTACAATACCCATCCTTCTATATTTAAATGCATGTTTAAGTTTTACTGACAATGCTGAAGAGAATGAATCTTAAAACTGAAAAAGACATTTTATATCTTTCTGTTGCTTAGGATATAATCAAGGACCAGGTGCTAAAGGTGATCCAGGCATTCCAGGACCTCCTGGCCTACCTGGAAGCCCAGTAAGAAAACATATGGCACAAAAAAGTAGTTTGGTGTTGTTTTTGTTTGTTTGTTTAAAAAACATTTGTAAACAATAGTTCTTCTCTGAAGGGTCCTATTGGTCAAAATGGATTTCCAGGCCCTCCAGGACAAAAGGGAGACTCATATTCCTACAGCACTCCTGGGATAAAGGGAGAGCAAGGTGACACAGGACAGCCTGGCAGGCCTGGTACAGATGGCCTCCCTGGGTTTCCTGGGCTGCCAGGTCGCAAAGGCGATCAAGGGCCCCCGGGGGATTCGGTAAGAAGGTTTCTGTTGCCATTTGGTGTCCCATGTTTATGTTTCAAAAGTCTAAAACTCAGCTGTGTGCAAGAGCCCATCCAACAGAATATGTAATTCTAGTGATTGTTGGAACAACTCATCTACTCTCTAGTATCCCTCCTTTGGTGAATTGGGGGACCGGGGTTCCCCAGGTCTACCAGGGCCTTTAGGCAGTCCTGGAACTGTTGGTTACCCTGGGCCAGTGGGATATGGGCCTACTGGAGTTCCAGGAAGTAAGGGAGATGTTGGGGTACCTGGCCTGCCAGGACAGGCTGGATTTCCAGGTACAGAAACACACTGTACATTATACAATTTGACAGATATTTGTAAATATAAATGCACAAGTAGATAGACAGATCTAATCCTTTCTTTTACTCCTACACTGGTAGGCCAAAAAGGTGAACCTAGCTACGTCCACACGAAAGGACTTCCTGGACCACGTGGATATAAAGGCCTGCCTGGTCCACCCGGAAGCCAAGGTAAGCATAGATGTACGACTGAGAGATGGATGGATGTACGGACAGACGGAAGGATGGATGGATGGATGGATGGATGGATCGACTTTATGTTACCATACAATAGATGATGGAAGCATCTCTAAAACGTACCAACAAACTTCCAGGTATTAATGGAGCACCAGGTATGCCAGGAACACCAGGTTTTCGAGGACAGAAAGGAGAAAGCGGGGAGGTGTCATTTCCTGGAAGGCCGGGGTTGCCGGGACAAAAAGGTAATCCATGTGGGATTGAGCTCAAGAAAAAAGCCTCATAGAGCCTGTTCACACCTGGCATTAAAATGCATCTCCCCATGCTCCTTGAGTGACCACTTGTGATCGCTCTATATGCAAGTAAACGTATTAATCATTTCCATTCAACCGGTGTAGTTTTTAATTGGTGGGAGGTTTGCTGTGCTGAACACACACTTACAGCCTTTATAGGCTATATAAAATGAGTAAAATCTTAATTCATGTAGAGCTGTGCACAGACGAGCAACCTGTGGTCTCAGCGACTCCCCGCTACTAGGAGACTACTGCTGTGGGGGTATGAGCTCCATGCCAGGGACACATACTGACGTGGCCAACTGGTAAATGGTCATTAGTGGGTTTAATGACAGAGTTGAGCCAGGCTGCTGTTAACTCGTGCTAGTGCCAGCCTGGGAGGAGAGCGCTGAGTCTAACCTGTGTAATGGCAGCAACAGAAAGTTTTTTTGTTTAATGAGGATTCAGATAAGTAAGTACACAGCTGAGTGGGTTGTTCTTCAATGTGGCCCAGGAAACATTAGCGTACAATCTGCTAAAAAAAGAATGTGGCCATATGTAGCCCAGACCACATCAGAATGTGGTGATCGGATCTCAAGCACATTGAGGTATGTATTTAGAGCTGTCCAGTTGGGTAATCCAGTCACCCCAAATGCATGCTAATACCAAGTGTTAAGAGGGTCATAGTAAACATTCAAATTCTTAGAGCACAAGCTATATTATCAGTACTACGAAGTTGTTAACTGATAACTCCTTAAGACAAGGGGGAACAGCTAAAAATACATTTAATACATAATTTATGTTTCTATCACTTTGTGTGTGTGTGTGTGTGTGTGTGTGTGTGTTCAGGTGACAAGGGGCAGCCAGGTCTTCCAGGCTATTCGGGTAGGGGCTTGTCTGGTCTGCCAGGTCCACAAGGCCTTCCTGGGCTTGCAGGACTGAAGGTTAGAGACACAAACATCTGCCATTTATAATATTTACAAAGAGAGGTTACTCTATAGTACTTTGAATCTACGTATCATATACATAGTACTTTACTGGCCATTTTGTGAAAGCAGAGTAAAAGGTAAAAAGGTGTCTAGATTCCAGGCTTTACACTATATAATAGAAATGCAGATGAGAAACAGGAAATATTAAATGATTAAAGGTTCCCTGAAATGGTCTCTGTCTAATGTGATGTACCTTCCATTGGGGTTGGAGAATAGAAAGCAAGCAGGATCAATCAGCATTTGGGAAATATGTATTTTTGGCTTTCTTAATGAATTAGATAAGAATATCAATACCACTCTCTATACTGTAAATAGAGAGCTACAGTCTGCAGCCAGTTAGCTTAGAGACTCAAAATGAGGGAACTACTAGGCGGCATCTGTCCAAAGGCAACAAAATTTGACTACTTGTATTATTAGTATTATTTTTATAGCAGTTGTGCTAAACTAGCCAGCTGCTGGTTGTAGCTTCATATTTATCATCGACATGAGAGTGGTAAGTGTGACCCAATGGGACATCTGTTATGGAGAGAAAATTAGTTTGGTTTCAGTGCTCCACAAATGTCGTTACGACCTTAACATAAAGTTACATAACCTAAAGTTACAGAGGTTAGGTTTAGGCAAGTTAAGTTACTGTGTTTAGGTTTAGGGAAAAGAAAAATGGTGAAGACGTACTTTAAAATGACCTGAAATTCACTCTGAATTCACACGGTTCCAAACACTAGTCTCCTGGGGGAAAGTCCTGTGTTTCACATCCCATTCACAACCCTAACCTACCTCCTTAGTGAACCGCTCAAGACCGCTTCTTTCTTTACTCCTGTCAGCTCATTGGTCATGTGATCACAGCCTTCCCAAATACATGGGTTATGCACAAATTACTGGCTCATAATTACATAGGATATGTGCGAAATTTGGCGCATTACTTTTCATAGGAAAATGTACAAATAGTGCATGAGAACGGCCTGCTTTATTGGTTGTACATTAACTTAGCAGTGCAGAAGAAAGTCTTTGCTGAGAGTGTACTGTTTATAAAGGAGCTGCATGTTACATTCTCAACCACTTTTTGCTATGTAAAGATATAGTGAAGATACAGTGTCCTGAGCAGCAGATGAAGTCACGCTACCTCTCTGTGTGTTTTAATCTGTGCTAGCTGGTACGGCCTATAACTGTGTCCCAATGGCTGCATGCATACAGCAGTTACTATTGATATCACGATAGCATCATCACAAAAGCATAGTGCCCACCCTCTGGTTTCCCCCTATGTTAACATCGTTAGCTTTGTCAGCACTATTGCCGTTGTTAGCACTCTTTGCACTATTAGCACCGTTAGCTCAGCACCTTCATGTTGAGAACCATGTGCAGCCAATCCCCCCTCAGGCTCTGAATCATAAATACGCTCTGAATGTTGCATATAGCCCCTTTAAGGAGGTAACAGTTTTCCAGGAAGGTCGAGTGTTCATTTCACTGGTTCTTTAAAAAAGATTTTGTATCTTGAAACAGTTTTTACTGCCATAACCTCTGTATAGAATATAACAAAAGTTCACCTATGATAGGAACTGAATTGAGTGTAGAATGTTAAGAGCTCTTCAGCAGGAACATTCAGCTGTTTCAGTACTACAGACAGCTCCCTCTGACCTCTGTGCAGATATTAGAGTGAGTTTTGCTGTGAAAAGTCATGATGGACAACATCATTGCCGAACTACAAGCACCAATTAAATGTGTGAATTTGAATATATAAATAACATACTGTTTATTTGTGATCATCAGGGTGATGGCGGCCCTGGATACCCTGGACCCCCAGGACCCCCAGGGCCTCCAGGAGCAGACGGAGATCAGGGGCCTGTTGGAGATCCTGGGATCCCTGGCCCACCTGGGATCACAGGACTAAACGGCAGCCCTGGCTTTCAAGGAGAAAAGGGTGCCTCACTCATAAATTAACACACACAGACACATGTGCATTCATGCCTACATAATCATACAAACACATGTTCATCTATTTACTAGTTTTTTCAATGTTACATGCAGGAATGAAAGGTTCTGTAGGGCTCCAAGGACCACCTGGTAGTAAAGATTTATGTAAAGGTGATCTACCTGGACCAAGGGGACCACAAGGACCAGATGGTTATCCAGGACTTCCAGGTCAGTGTGTATTGAAGTCATGTAATGTACTTAACTGTCAACCCTAGAGGGGACAATGAATGCAGAAGGTGAAAGATAAAAGAGGATAAAATGTCGACCATCTTCCCCATAATTCAACACTGTCCAACACATTTAAAGTCCCCCTCTCCCCAAAAGAGCTTTTCCTGTATTTATTCCCCTGAAATGTCTGGCTTTGACTATTCTGACTGTACTTGTGCAAAGTTTGTCACTAGAAGTGTTTTCACATTCCTCTACTGAAGGGATCTGTGCACCTCCCCAAAATTTGAGATGCAAACGTACCACGGGCAAGCCAGATTAGTTACATCACTAATACGAAAGCCAGTTGCTTTCTCATACAGGAAACGCATATAGACGGAGGAACAAATTTCAACACAACAAAGGAACCTGAAACCTTGAGCACAGAGCTGACTTGTCAGTACAGAGAGCAGAATTTTCATTAGAGTTTGCAACGGCACCCTGGAGCTTCCCTCCACTTGCCATTCTGATACATGTGCTAGTCACTGATTTTGGCGCACAAGTGTAAGTCTGGGTCCTCCTGAGGCACATGTATGGCTTAATCACTCTGATGTTTCCTGTAGTGCTACCCATGTTTATGGATACTTGTCTTTCACTGGTCAACCAAGTGTGAGCAGCACTGGAGAAAGGGGAAAGCATTTACTGCAAGCAGATATTTCAATGAGAGGGGAAGAGCAGATCTGCTTCAAGCCCCTTTTCAGATTTTTTTCAATCTGATGTGGAGAAACCTTGTTAAATAAAATATTGGTATAAGTATTTATGTGTCTGGAGAGGGAATTTAAACAGCTTCTCCCTGCGGAGAACAAAGACATTCCCACCATTCCCTGATCTTCAAATTATTTTCTCTCCCCACCTGCATTTTGCTCTGTCTCTCTGTCTCCCCTTCTCCCAGGACCTAATGGCTCCCGTGGTGAGAAGGGGAACCCAGGTTTGCCAGGGTTTGGTCGTCCTGGTGTACCCGGTGAACCTGGTTCTCCTGGGCCGTCAGTGCCAGGCCCACCTGGGCTCACTGGACAAAAAGGGATCACAGGACAGAGCAGCCCGCCTGGTCAACCAGGTATGGCAATGCCAAGTCAAACACTCAATGATTAATTCTTCAATACATGACAGATGTGAAGTAAAGGTTTCAACTTTTTAACTGTCTTTGAATACTTTTTAGTATTCACTGCCTTAACTATGTACTGTATATTGTCCATTATATTGTAGAATATTGAATCTAATTTGACTTGTATGTACAGATTGTTTCCGCATGTTCCACTTGTTTTTCCTCAGGACTGAGAGGAGACCCTGGACCAGATGGGTCACCAGGATATGGACCAAAAGGGGAAACTGGAGTTGTAGGACCACCAGGCCAAATAGGTAACACACAAGTACAAACACACACACCTTCACAAACCAGTAAATCCCTACACACCAACAACACATCTTTAACAAATAAGGTAAATTAAGAAGTTTCAAAGTCTTGAGTCGGATCTTGGAACACTGGTTGGTGATTCATCATAGTTGTGTGTGTGGTTCACAGTGACGATGATGGAGTCAATGCCCCCATGACTGTTTACAGGTGACCCGGGCCCAGACGGAGCCAGAGGTCCCCGGGGTCCACCAGGCATGGATGGTGACCCAGGTCCCATGGGTCCTCCAGGCATATCAGCACAACCACTGCATATTTTTGGGCCCCCAGGGGACCCTGGTGATTTGGGTAAGCTTTACAATAGATTGAGGAACTTACTAGGGATGGGTACCTTTCACATTTGAACCGATATGGTACCAATACCCGGTACCTGGGAATCGGTACCGGTAAGCAACGGTACCTGTTTTCGGTACTTTTTTGCATGTATGTGTGGTAACAAAGGATATTTCATTTAGAATTTTTTTTTGTCAAAACTAACATTTATTTCTCAATATCAAACAGGATAAAACAACATCTAACACTGTTTGTACCATAATATGAAAAGGTAGCCTATATAATTGACTATGCAGCAGTTCTTTTTATTGCACAAAATGAACCCACTCCTACTACCTCCTATTCCTCCTCTTTCCCCTCTGGGAAAAATGTGTGTGGGGGAGTGTAACGTTAAAGTTACAGAATACGAGGAACCGAGCTGATAATGATAACTAAGGCAAGTTAAAATGCGAAGCTAACATTAGAATGACCAGAACAAAGCCCAATCATTTTAAACGCTAAGCTTATTAATTACCTGGAACCGATGTAGCTGATGCCCCGCTTAATCACCGTCGTCATCATCGAAAGTTAATCCCACTTCTTCTGCCCCGATGCTGGCTGCAGATGACAAAGAGCCGCTAGCTGCAGGTGTGCTAACGCAGGGAGAAGTAGCTTTAACTTTCAGGCTATCAAATACTGTGCAGTCGTCAGCCTTTAAAAACACGTTGTGCTTTACCAGGTGCTTCCCCAGGTTTAAGGTATTTCCGTAGCTGGCCTTGCATTTTGCATCGCAAATATTGTAGCGAGCGTAGTCTGCATCAAACTTTGAGATATGGAGCCACACCTTCGACCTCTTTCTCTCAGCCATGCTGCTTTGTTGATAGTTGCTACTGACGTGATCACGCTCTCGTGCGTACAATGCTGCGTTCACGATAGGCAGCGAAAACGTCACTCTTCCACTCTCAAAGTCCCGAGGATGCGTTCAGGTACCGAAATGTGGTACCGTTTGATTTTACGTGAATCGATACTCGGGATTACCGGCGGAATTCGGTCGGTACCAATAAAAGTACCGAACTCGGTACCCATCCCTAGAACTTACAGTTCTTTGTTTCACAAAAAAAGACAGAGTACATGCGAAGTCAGAAATGGAGGCTTTGCCAATTGTACTGTTTAGTATAGCCTGTGAGATGGTGATAATATTCCATCTCTACCTTTACTTTTTCAGGTTACGCTGGCCTGCCTGGTGCCCGTGGAGATAATGGAGGTATTGGACCAAAAGGGCTGAGAGGGGTAATTGGAGCGCCAGGGAGTCCTGGACTAAAAGGTTTGAAATCAACTTCACATTTGTAACAAAACAGTTGTCCACAGTTTTTGAAACTGCATTTGTGAGGTGTGATAATGGATTTTCTGACTTTGGTACAATACCATGAAAAATATCAACATTTGACACCTTTTTTGATACCAAAAATTTTAAATTGACATTAAAGGCAGAGAACAACAGAAGACTGTAATGAACATAAACAACAAGGAAAAGCAAAGGGCAAAAGGGCACTTGTGAACCAATACTATGGAAAATGAGAATTGATTCAAATATTCAGGATTGATGTGTATCAATAAATAAATATTTTTACTTTGTCCAGGTCCCCCAGGTAATCCAGGTGTTGATGGAACAGTGCTCTCAAAAGGAGGTCGAGGACCTCCTGGAGCTCCAGGAGACCCGGGAGTCCGAGGGCCTCCAGGTAAGACCTAAACTTTAATTTAAGGCCATACACACTCATTGCTTTCCATCAAATTGACACTTTTAATACCCATTAAAGGGTCACAATATAGGTAGAAAATAAGCATATAATATTTTTTGAATGATTTAACTGTATCCTGTACTATACTGCAGCTGTAGACAACAAAGCGTTTTTCAACGTATCTTATCTAAAGTAATTGTTTGTTTAACCCATATAGGCCAAAAGGGAATAAAAGGACATCAAGGAATCCCTGGAGGGCCAGGTCTAGATGGTGTACCAGGTCCAACTGGTAACAAAGGAGTTAATGGAGAGCCAAATTACAATGGATATGGACCGCCTGGACCAGTAGGACAAAAGGTACTAATGACTGATCTGAAAAGTCTTTGTAGGGGAGCTCACCTGGTAGAGCAGGTGCCCCATGTACAAAGGCAAAGCTTGATTCCAAGCCACACACCCCTGCAACATGTCATCCCCCCTCTCTCTCTCTCTCTCTCACGCTGCATCTATCCTGTCAAATAAAGGGAAAAAGCCCCTAAAAAATATCTTTAAAAAGTCTTTGTAATTGACTAAAACAATCTAGTAAAATACTAAAACATATTCTTCTCCCCCTCCTCAGGGTGAACCAGGATTAACCAATACTTATGTGATGAAGGGTCAGAAAGGTGAACCTGGTTCTTTTGGACCTTCAGGTTTACCAGGAAACCATGGAGCCAAAGGAAACCCTGGGCGTTTAGGACAAAATGGTTACTATCACCGATCAGAAAAATAAGGCAGTTTATGATTGACGTATGTTTTGCTCACACTCAGTTAACCTCTCACTCCTCTCCTGTCACCACCCATCTATTCCAGGTTCCCCAGGCTATCAAGGGCTTAAAGGTTCAGATGGGCCTCCTGGAGGCAAAGGACAGCGAGGACCCAATGGGCCGCCAGGTAAAGTCCTTTGAAGTACATGTTTTTTAAATTTATACTAAAGAAGGAACCTTTTCATTTTACTAAATCAATGCACAACATTTTGTAAAGTTGCTGCCTACAGTGTAAGCTTTACTTTACTTTCTTTAAAGTTTGACCACAGCCTTTCTTTTGTCTTAATCTGTTTGCCTCAGGTGACCCAGGCCTGCCAGGTGGCGGCGGTTATCCAGGTCCTAAAGGCAACCAGGGCCAGGATGGGATCCCTGGACCACCAGGGCAGAAAGGAGAGACTAGTAATTTGAATCCTGCATTAAAAGTTTTGTATGGCTCCATGTGCTCCTGCACATATATATCAAACCCACAGGCATCATAGTTTGTATTTTCTTTATGTCTGAACCACTGGCCTATAGAAAAACGGTCTCTTCTGTTGTTGCATTTAATCTCACCATCCTTCCATCTCTCCTCTGTAGTCATAATAGGAGGGAAACCAGGCAGACGTGGTAACCCAGGTCAACAAGGTGAGTCTCAGGTAAATGACATCGTCCTTTTCAAGGCTTTTACTAACATTTTCTGAACACCTTCTTGAAAACCTTCTAATATTTTAGGGGAAATACCACCTATCCATGTGTAACCCATACTTGTCACATCATTGTAGTTGATGAAACAAGCAATGACAAAATTCTGATCTGATGTCTTCAATATTTACAAAAATGGTTTGAATATAGATAGAGATGAAGTGTTTTTTATCTTGACCAACTAAAAAACCAACATTCTTCACTGTTGATTAGGACTGTTGTTGACATTAGTGCATGTCTGTGTGTTTCTGTACTATAGGCCCCCCCGGAGAGCCCGGTCCCCCCAGCTTTCCTGCTACAGGAAGTCCTGGGCCAATAGGAGACATAGGATATCCAGGTGCACCCGGGGTAACTGGTGTGAAAGGACTACCAGGAAGAGAAGGGGCTTGTGTTGCTGGTCCCAAAGGAGAGCGCGGCCGTCCTGGTCCGCTTGGCCGCCCAGGTAAGGATGCATTATTTGAGGACTCTTACATACCCTAGTAATATTCAGGGGTCCGTTTCACAAAGCAGGTTTAGTGAAAACTCAGAGTCTGTTAACCCTGAAATGAGGGAAACTCTGAGTTTTCCGTTTCAAAAAGGGAGGTAACTCAAACCAGAGAAAGAGGGGTAACTCTAGCTTGTTTCAGAGAGAGAGGTAACTTAAGCTCTCGGTCAGTTACTGTAGTAACAGACTCTATGAACCTAACCTAAATGGGACCAGGTTTTTCTCAATGAACCTCGAGTTTCTCTCTGTCTCCGCCCTCTTTCAGAGCCACACACTCCATTTGATTTCCTCATTCATTCAGTCAGCAGGCGAGTTTTGGCGTAGCCTAGTTCTGCCATCTGTCATTTTAAAAAATCATTAAAAAAAATCAGAGTCAGTATATTAGAAGTCCATTAGGCTCAGTAGGTGGCAACTTTTTTCACTGCGCAGAGAATTAAATATTCATCGGGAGATGGTTATCAGACCGTGCATAGATGTTTTAGCATTTCCAGACAATTATCTTTTTGAGCTGTACCGTTTCACGTCACAGTCCATCATCTACATGCACAACCTAATCCGTCCTTACATTTGCAAAATTACCAATCGTAGTCATGCTCTCACATCCCAGCAGATATTGTGTGTTGCACTGTGTTTCTTTGCAAATGGAAGTTTTTTGTACAATGTCGGAGATGCTGAGCACTTGAGGTAGACAACTGTATGCAGGGCGGTCAGAAAAGTGTGCTCGTTTTACAGGCATCTGCCTTCTTTCTGTTGGCTGAGTAGAAGTCTGTGTTAGTTTAAATAGGCTTAATTATTTAACAGAACATGATATAGAAGAGAAGACATTTATGTGTGTGAAAACAGCATTATGTTGGGGATAAAACAACTACACAGTCAAACAGCCACTTAATATTTACTTTACAATGTAAAACATGATCAAAATGCAGAGGTCTTACCTGTTTGAACAATGTCTTTATATTTCATCCTAAGCTGCTGCCAAGTGCGCTTCTCCCCCACGGGATTGCACCTAAATGAAATAAATTAATAGGCTACCATTCAAGCAGTTTTCCCCTGTAATATTATTGTGATTGCAAAGGACTACATTTAAACTTACGCATTGACCCGAGCAGCAATGTTCTCCCACGCCGTCTTCCTCTCTTTTGCAGCTGCAGCGGTGTTGCACTTCTTTTTGAAAACGTGTGCAAACTCGCCGTATGAGCACATTAAGATTTCTAATTCTAGTGGGGTGAAAAACGCAGCCCTACTCTTCCCCGTTGCCATGGAGACTCGTAGAATCGGGGCTCCATTGATGCTGGCTTTTTATAGTTGTGGTGCACGCGCTTAACTCCAGGTGAAACTACTCCGAGTTGATTAACCTGATTCAAATCAGCTGTTCTGGAACCGGAAACTCAGAGTTGCCTATCTCAGAGTAGATCAACTCAGAGTTCAGGATTAGACTCAGAGTTTGTTGAACCTGCTTTGTGAAAAGGACCCCTGGTGTGGCTGTTCTCTGCATTGTGTACAAACATGAGACAAAAGGCTACTTTGACATATCAGTTCTTCACTTTCTTTACTTGGGTCTCAGTTGCACTGAAATATCCCTCTCCTCTCAACTGCATATATATAGGCTGTCGTGGTGTACCTGGCCCTCCTGGTCCCACAGTGCCTGGGTTAAAAGGAGACAAAGGGGACCCAGGTCCTACAGGAGGTCCAGGCTATAGTGGACCCAGAGGAGATCAAGGCCCTGAGGGTCCACCAGTAAGTGAGCCTGACATTTAATTTTTGAGGAATACCTGATAAATTCAAAAAAGTCTTTACAAAGGAGAATAAGGATTCAAATCCACTACTTCTATCCATATTTGTATTTAAAGCTTTGCTATAAAGGATTTAAAAAAGAAATGTATAGACTCAATAGTAATCCCTCTTAATCATCTCTTGTGACCCACTAAAAGGTGTATGGCGGTGTATTTATCTGCAGAGAACCTGCCCTCCGCCTGTGTGTTTTTTGTGTACTTCTTATTTTGCTGTGTTCAGGACGTTCCTGGGCACAGTGCACAGGTGAGGTTGGGACACTATAAAAAGGTAGCGACCAGGTGCCAGACTGTAAGCAGCAGAGGTCCAAGGGGAAGCTACAAAAATCACAAACACAGCACCAAAAAAACGCCACAAATATAGGGAGGCGAAATGCAACAAAGCTGGGGTTGGCTTTCACTTTCACTTTAGCCTGCGATACTGTTTACCAACAGTAGCGGACATTTCCTGCATAGTGTACCTGTAACAAAGGAGAGGTGATTTTCCTCGGCAAAGGTTTTTAAAAACGCAATAATTGTTTAAAGAGCCATTAAACGGTGAACCTTTTCTTTCAGCACAATAACCAAGATGAGATTACTCTCAAGCACCAACTGCAGTTACACAACTGAAGCAAAGTCTTCAGTCTCCCTGAACTACTAAAAGTCTAATCTTTGAACTTTCATTGTTTCATTTGTCTCCCAAGGGTCCAAGGGGCAGACATGGAGACCCAGGACCAAGAGGTGATCCCGGTCCTCCTGGAAACTATGGGCCCCCTGGTAATCTATCATTTTAACTTCAGCCTGTAGATTAGGTATTCTCCTTCAATTCTTCCCCAGACAACGGCAGATCTGTCATCACAGAAGAGTAATAGTCCACAGTTGATTTATGTCCCCACACCTGTGATGAAATACAAATGGGACAGAGAATAAAGTGGACAGAGAAGAATAAGATTTATGAAGATTCATTTCACTTTTCTTATGTGATATCCGATGAGATTGAATTCATGCATAGGGTGTGATGACAAGCTTATTCCCTCGATATATATTTATGACCTGTGTTTTTTAGGTGGCAAGGGAGACCCTGGATACATCCCAGGCCCTCCTGGTCCACCTGGGGTGAAAGGATTTCCTGGACGACCTGGTACGGCCAAAGTTTGTCTTATCACTCTTTAGAATAACCAGGAATTACACTGAGCCCAGTTAATATCTTCAGTTATGACTCACAGCATAGATGCAATACTCCATCCATCGCTGTCAGATAACCTATCTAGCACTTGAATACTGTCACTGTTAGCACACCACTGACATTTACTAATTCTAGACAGTCAGTCATGGCCTACAGGTGTTATAGCTTCCTAAATGCTCCTGCTCTATCACTACAGGCTTAAAAGGTGAACCAGCATTTGTCAGGGTGATATATGAACCAGGACCTCCCGGCTCACCTGGTCCCCATGGCAATCAAGGATCCCCAGGGAGCACTGGACCAGCAGGACCAGCAGGCCCACCAGGTCCAAGATTTTTTTTTATCTCAGCTTAGTCTATGCATTGATTTTAAGATGTGCTACTACTTTGCCAAGGATACAGCATCTAATTTTATCAAATTTCTCTTTGGTCTGCTCCGTGGACTATTTGCTTCTTATAACTATATATTGGTTTCTTTGCACCATGTGACACGACATTTTTCTGTTCCAGGTCGGACAGGCATCAAAGGAGAGCGCGGTTTCACGCCAGACGGCCCGCCCGGATTTACTGGCCACAAAGGAGACAAAGGCCGTGCAGGGCTGCCAGGTGTGTGCATGTGTGTGGGCTGATAGGAGTGTTTATTGATGCAGACTAGATGATATGTTATGATGACATCAATAGGAGCTTGTTCTAATATCTGTCTACAGTTTCCACATAATGGTGCGTAACAGTGCTGCAGTGGCAAAACACTAATGAGAACCAGATTCATACTTATGGCTGGGTTATGCACTTCTGTATGTGGGTGGGAAGCCAGTGAGGGATTTAGTGGAAAATCTGAACCCTGTGTTGCACCCTCCCAGTAAAGTTTCTTGCCATCATATTAAAACCAAGCTCCTCAGTCCAACAGAGAGATTTAGCGGTGACAAAGACTGTAGGATACCCATAAAATCCTCAAACAAAATCCTCCACATGACGTCACTTGCTACCATTGTTCAGTTTTTGAATTAATAATGTGTTTCCTCTGCAGGTCCACCAGGCGCTCTTGGAAAACCAGGCAAAAAGGGTCCCCCAGGGTTGCCAGGCAGAGGTGGTCCAGGTTATGTCGACAGTTTCCTCATAGCCAGACACAGTCAGAGCACCAGTGTGCCCGACTGCCCTCATGGCACCAGCCGCATCTACTCTGGTTACTCCTTCCTCTTCATCAACGGAAATGAGAGAGCTCATGGTCAGGACCTTGGTAAGAGCATGAACAGGAATAGTCTGCATCTTAAAAACCTGCATCTTTGCTTGAGTCATTTCATGACAATTTTCAAACACTGTTTCTCAGGCACCACGGGAAGCTGTCTCCCTCGTTTCTCCACCATGCCCTACCTGTTCTGTGACACAGAGAATAACTGCCGCTATGCTTCACGTAATGACTACTCCTACTGGTTGTCCACTGACACTCCTATGCCTGCAAACATGGTTTCAATCACAGGGGATAAACTGGCCTCCTACATCAGCAGGTGGGACAGGAGCATGCACGCATATACACAGACGTGTTTCCTTAGCAAATACAAAATACTGTACATTTTCTGATAATTTCTCTTCAGTTTTATTTTTATTTGTTTGTATTTTTCAACGTGGACCCTATTTCCCCATATTCTTGTGTCTAAGTGACTAATGGGACCAACAATTTTTGAAACTGGTCCAGTATTGAGTGAGAGGGTTGCAATATAACCACGTTTGCTATCATCACACCCACCAGACTCCATTTACATAAATAGTAATTTTATCATCTTAAAACTCACCTCATTCACAGTTCTTGTTCATTGTACAATTAAGGATATTAAAGATGACTTGGAACAACATTAATATGAGTGTGCTTATGTGTTGGCTGGTTTATAGGTGCTCAGTGTGTGAAACCACCTCCAATGTCATAGCCATCCACAGCCAGACAACGCTGATACCTGTATGTCCACAAGGCTGGGAGTCACTATGGACTGGATACTCATTTGTCATGGTAAAGACGTCAGTGTTTTGTTTTCTCCTGAAACCCTGGATCCTCTCATCAACTATTTTCCATGTAATTTTCTTCCTTTGACCTTTATCTGTTCTAGCAAACAGGTGCTGGAGCAGAGGGCTCCTCCCAGCCCCTGGTATCTCCTGGCTCGTGCCTTGAAAGTTTCCGCCAAGTGCCCTTCATCGAGTGCCACGGCAGGGGAACGTGTAACTACTACCCTGATTCTTATAGCTACTGGCTGGCCTCCCTAGACCCTAACAGCATGTTCAGGTAAACTGTTCCCTTCTGTGTTCAGAGTCATGGATGCATGCCATGGGGGATGCCTCTCTTCCGCAGTTTAATATAGATTCACAGGGTTGGGTGTTTCATGATGACCTGAACAGCTGCTAGTTTGTCTTGCATGTCCTATGATAATTAGGCTATAGTGCTCTTAAGAATCAAAATCTTATCCTATATTAGAAAGGACAGTTTTTTTGTGATTTGGCAGCTTACTAGTAATGAACTACTTTGCAATGTTGCTTTAAATTGAAAGAGCAGTGTTGGTATGTACCGATTGCAACCAGCTGAAACTTCTTCACTATGCTAAGTATATACTTTCAGTTAGGATTACGCAAGTGTTCATTGTTCAGGAGGTTTTTTATTGGCAGCTGAATTATCCTCAGAGGTCTCTTCTTCTCCAAAACAAGCAGACCAGGTAATTGAAACCTACAAAAACACTGAATAAAGCAGTTTCACATTACAAATCAGTGTTTCCCCGATGCTCTTTGGCTCGACACGGACGGACCACTAAGTCAACACCTGCTAATGTGTGCTCACCTTTTTTATCTGATATCTTAAAATCCAGATGTTCAGGAGGATTTTACCAGGAGCCGAATACTCACATATGTCTCTTCCTCTACAAAACAAACTGAGCTGATGATTTTAACATGTAGAAACAACAACAAAAGCATTTTCATATTAAAAATCAGTGTTTTTCTGATACTGTTTGGCTCGTTGCAGAGAGGCTGCTAATTACGGTAGCTGACAAGTAGGGCTGTCCCAAACGATTATTTTTTCGATTATCGATTAAATTGCCTCATTAATCAAATAATGAAAAAATAAACACTATGAATACTAAAACATTTCTTATTAACATTAACATTTATTGAACCGTCAGTGTTTCCCCTACCATTATATTAGCTAAATAGCCTTATGTTATTTATCTTACGTCATTTCTGTCTCTCCATGGTCGCACGTTTACAATTCTCCTCTGCTCTCTGTTACGCACACGGAGGAGTTTGGCCCCGATGCGCGCACAAACACGTGGGCGCACACACACACACACACACACACACACACACACACAGGTGAGTGGCTGAATTTTCTGACCCGGGTGAGACAATTATAACAGAGCCTGGCCCTGTGTACACACTCAATCTAACGCCTGTGTTGCGTTCAGGTGTTGTCACGTAAATAACAAATTCCAACACTTGAGTAGGCCATAGTACGATAGCACAGTACAGCTGCTGCCACCGCACGCTGCCATTTTTTTTTTTGTTTGAACCGACGTGTTGATGCTAATAAATCGATAAATGGCTCTGGTGCCATTCCCATTTTGCATTCTCTTGTCAGTAGGGCTGGGGCGACGTCGTCGATGTCATCAACTATGTAAATATGTTGACGCGTCGCTCCAGCCCTACTGATAAGAGAATGCAAAATAGGAATGGCCCCAGAGCCATTGTTTGGTTTTTCCATTCTGGGATACCGTAGGAACATGGCGGCCAAGGACTCACTCGATATGTAGATTTAAACAGCTCATTCTAAGGTTAGAAAACACAACAATTTTTCATTTTCAGGTGAAGATAATCCAATAAAAACCTGCCAACAGATACCCCTAAATCCTACACACTTGGCCTTTAAATTAAGCTATTATGCAGCTGCAATCCAAAACTCTACTTAGGATTTATAATTACATTTCTAACTTTGCGTTTGTCTGTGTGTTTTGTTCTCTCCTACAGTAAACCTGTGCCTCAGACAGTGAAGGGACCTTCTCTACAAAGCGTCATCAGCCGTTGTCGGGTCTGCAGCAAACATCAGCCAGGTGGTAGAGGAGACGAAAGACGTGGGGACAATTTTTAACATTCAGTATTACTTTTTCCAACGTCATTTGAAGAATGAAAACATGTGAAACGCGAGATTAAACAGTCAGATTGGTAGTTTGTAGTGTCGACGTGTTTGTTCAACTGATGCATTCAAGTTACAAATCTGTGTTTGAGTCTGAGGGAAACACACTTCGACACATTTCAAGGAACGTGCCAATCATCTGTAATTGCAGGTGTGTTATAGGCACTGATAATAGTGTATATTAACATAAACAAAACGTTCAATAACTCATTATGTTATAGAGGCTGTAGTGTGCCACCTGTGTGTAATTATTCCTGCTTCAATAACAGCCAGTAATAGCAGTGATAAAAGTACTACTAGTTGCAGCAATAGGAGAGATATTCTGTTTTACTTTAAATGCTTGCAAATACTTGACTTGTGAGTGACATATGGAAAACAAGCACAACACCCACACTGCCTATGTTGCCATATCTGTGTGACCAAAGGTGTCTTGATGCACTAAATGTCCTGATATGTACAGCTGAGAAATGATTAATCTATCCACACAAAGCTGATGTCAGTGGGTGACGTTAAGACACATGAGGTCACAACAGATGACACACATGTTCCTATGACATCTGGAAAGGTAGTATGTCGTAAATATGACACAGTCTCGCTTTGGAACCGTTACGTTGTGTGTTCACGCGCAAATATTGAGTCATTCCTGCCCTGGCTCTAAAAGCATTTCTTTGATTTTCAGCATGTTAAATGGTGCATGGAAAAGACTTTATGACTCATACTGCCTACAACTTTCTCCAATCCATTTTAAATGAACTGTCGGGAGGCTGTCTCTGTGGCTTCGGGTCTAAAAATGCACATTAAGATCTTGCGAGGAGATACTGTGAAATCAGTTCTTTTACATTCCATCTCTCTTGTTTTGGTTTGTCGATTGGAGGAGAAGATATTAAAATTAAATACAAATGAAGAATGAAGAATGTTTTTTTTTTACTGCGTGTTAATCTCCCTGTTGATTCCACATGTGACCAGTGGTTTGAAAAGCTGTTATCAGAAATAATCCAGCTAATTTTCCCCTCAGAATAGCCTCATCCCTCTTGTGATTCTTATTTCTCTGCGCTCCTCTCTCAGCAGAGTAATACGTCCCTGAGGACCAGTCATTCAGGCTTGCTCATCCATATCTGTCACCGTGATCAATAGACGCAAACTCCCCATATACCTAGATGCAAAAAGGTACAACAATGTCCTCAAACAGCACCGTGTTCAAAATGCTGTTGCTTTTTGGCACGCAGATATTCCAACATCGATTGCTCAGAGTCAGAAATAACAAGCAGCCTCATATGCTTATGTAAGGCAGGCAGCTAACACGAGTAACAACTGAAGAGGAGCTGAACCCTCTTATGGGAATTAAAAACCCATGATGTAGTATCGCACTGATTATCTAATTAATTTTTTTGACGTTTTTGGAACAAAACCTCAACTCATTAAAACTCCAGTTCCAACACATCTGAAAAAAAGTCCTGATGTAACATGCAGCCACTCCTTGAATGCCACCTTAAATTAAATGAGTGTTACATGGCCTGGTGCAGACAGTTGTCAGTATGGATAGAAACACTCTTTGCTGTAAAGTGCTCTTGGTAGCCTTCTTAACAGGATTATTCTGCTCCCGACAGTGCACTTACTAATTGTTTAGGCAGCTATATTAGGCTTCTACACCTCTATAATTGGGTTAGAATGGCGTTTTGTTGAAAGGTTGATGCGCCTCAAGGTTGTCTCCTGTGTGAGAAGGACATGTCCTTTCAGTTTCCTTCATACATGTGCCTTAGAAACACATCTGTTCATATGTTTACATCTTCATGTGTTGGAGGGGAAATAATTACTACATGCTGAATTTTGAAAAATTGAAACTTTATGAAACACATTTAGATTCCATTATAAGATTTTTTTATTCCCGAGTTCATGTCAGATCTTAATCATGGATGGATTATTATGAGACAATGGGCCCCTGGGCACAGATATGCAAAAGACTCCACCATCTTTCCTACACAGGGGCAAGACACACAGACTTTGTGGTGGTTTTGCCTCTCTTTTGTTGTTGTTTTGCATCTCTTTGTGGTTAATGTGTCTCTTTTGGGTAATTATGTGTCTTTATTGGTCGTTTTATGCCTCTTTGTAGTTATTTTGTGTCCCTTTGCATCTCTTTGTGGTCTTTTTGTGTCTCTTTGGGCTGATTTTGTTTCGCCATGAGGTTGTTTTTTGTTTCTCTGTGGTTGTTTTGTGACTTTTTTGGTCCTTTTGTGTATCTTTGTAGTTACAGTGCCTGAGCATCTCTTTGTGGTGTTTTTGTGTGTTTTCTGGGTAATTTTGTGTCTTTATTAGGTGTTTTACGTCTCTTTGTAGTTATTTTGTGTCACTTGGCATCTCTGTGTGGTCTTTTTGTGTCTCTGTGGGCTGATTTTATGGCGCCTTGTGGTTGTTTTTGGTTTCTTTGTGGTTGTTTTGTGTCTCTTTGGGGTCATTTTGTGTTTTTTTCTGGTCCTTTTGTGTATCTTTGTAGTTATTTTGTGTCCTTTTGCAATGCCTTTGCATCTCTGTGTGGTCTTTTTTTGTGTCTCTTTGGGCTGATTTTGTGTCACCTTGTGGTTGTTTTTGGTTTCTTTGTGGTTGTTTTGTGTCTCTTTTTGAGGTCATTTTGTGTCTTTTTTGGTCCTTTCGTGTATCTTTGTAGTTATTGTGTCCCTTTGCAGTGCCTTTGTGTCTCTTTGTGGTCTTTTTGTGTCTTTTAGGCCATTTTGTGTCTCTTGGGTAATTTTGTGTCTTTATTGGTCATTTTTTGTCTCTTTGTAGATCATTTTGTGTCCGTTTGCAGTGCCTTTGTGGTCGTTTTGTGTCTCTTTGGGCTGATTTTGTGTAGCCTTGTGGTTGTTTTTGGTGTCTTTGTGGTTGTTTTGTGTCTCTTTGAGGTCATTTTGTGTCTCTTTGTAGTTATCTTGTGTTCTTTTGCAGTGCCTTTGCATCTCTTTGTGGTCTTTTTGTGTCTTTTTGGGTCATTTTGTGTCTTTTTTGGTCCTTTTGTGTCTCTTGGGTAATTTTGTGTCTTTATCTGTTGTTTTTTTGTCTCTTTGTAGATCATTTTGTGTCTGTTTGCAGTGCCTTTGTGGTCTTTTTGTGTCTCTTTGGGCTGATTTTGTGTCACCTTGTGGTTTTTTTCAGTTTCTTTGCGGTTGTTTTGTGTCTCTTTGAGGTCATTTTGTGTCTTTTTGGTCCTTTTGTGTCTGTAGTTATTTTGTGAGTCTTTGTGGTAGTTTTGCCCATTTGTGTTGTTGTGTCTCTGCAGTTCCTTCGCATCTGTTTTTGGTCTTTCTGGGGTCATTTTAAGTCTCTTTCTGGTTGGTATGAGTTAATTTGAGGGTTAATTTGATATTTTGGGCCCTTGGGCCTGTGCCTGGCTGGCCAATTCAGTTATCCATCCCATCCATGGTGTTAATCCAGAATAACTACAGGTGAAGTCAATAGCTGTGACCTCTTGAAACTTCATATTATGAACATTTTTTTGCAGAGTATTTTCCATACAACCTACAGAGACATTGCCTGTCACACTCACTCTGGATATTAGCTATTTATTAATTTGTATACCTGTGGGGTGAACTGTCTCTTCAAGTAACAACTGTTAAAACCTTTCAAGTCACTTGCAGTTGTCATAAGATAGGGTGGGACTGGATTGTCCTCTGCCCACATTTAGGCTTAATTCTATGGGAAATTAAACTACACCTTCATAGCGAGACTTCACCCACAGTAATGCTGATTATGAGGGATAACCCAGACTGTATACCTGCAAAGATTAAAATAATACTATCCAACAAGTGATCCTCTCGTAGTTATTGTTCGCAGATGTATCGACTTGAAAATAATTTATTTAACTTACCTCGACTGAATTATAAAGTCTTCTGCTGTTGTTGTTGTTGTTGTTGTTGTTACAACATTCCTGCCATTCAGTTAATACCTGTTGTGGCTTGTGCTGATCCTTTGAGATAAACCTGGCTCATTAACTCTTGCTGGTGGTAATGGAGATGGAGCATATGTTAGTTTGTTTTCCCATTTTGCTCCAAACAGAATTCACTATTTACAATTGTAGAAAGTCTTCAGACCCACTTTGCCTTTACATTCATCTAAATAAAACACACTAACTTAATAACCCTTGCATTTCCTAATAAACATGATGATTTTAAAAGCGTTACTAAATCTTCCGTCCATGTAATGCAGTTGCATATTTATGTGCCATTACAAAATCATTAAAGCCTGTGACAAATGAAACAGAGCAGAAACCTCATTATAGAGATGAACAGAACAAACTCACGCAGGTGTAACAAATGATAAGTTGACCTTTATGGCCTCTGAATATCCTGGTGTCTCTGCTGCTGCCCGTTGATTCAACTTTTATGGCACAGCGGGGTTAATGAAATCATTGTTTCCCCCATGTCAGCATCATTAATGTTTTATTTTACATGAGTGCACATTGCACTTCTCTTACAGGGATTTGCTTTTAAACAAGGAGGCGGAAGGGATCTTTCACATTTGCAAGTAACGCCGACGACAGCATCAGGATGACCTTCATTTCTACAACCAGATTACAGTGTGTTTATGTAAATGATGACACCAGGAAAGACCTGGGTGGCAAAAATGTCCTTATTTAAAGCTTTTGTCTCACTCCTAATGGCTGTTGTAAATTACAGACTACACGCTTCAGTGCATTGATGGAGGCAAACACCAAATTGAGGATGGTCTTTTACGCAAACAACAGACTCACTCCTCCTCCCTTTTTGGGCCCAGGTACCACTTTAAAAACAGACGTCTCACTGTGGCGTGACATCAGCAGTGGATGCCGTGGTGTCTTACCAAACAGTTCTCACAGCAAGAAGCAAACAAGCAAGATAGCTCGAAAAAGGATGGCCCACATCTTGTGCATTTTGGCACTTTTGTGTTTCGCATCAAGTGTTGCAGAAAATACAGAGACCGAGCAGGGATTTAAAGACCTCCAGCTTCAGCAAGACTCATTGCCAGGGCTTGAAAAACTACAAGACAACCAGGTAAGATGCTTTTATATTTCCTTAACGCCTTTCTTCATGTGTTCTTACGTTTAGTACAACACAGAATACCATCCTTCCTGGTGGTTGAAACCAGGCCGCAGGTCACAGCTATGATTACACTGCAGGCATCAGGACGTCCTGCCCACCGCTCCTCAATAGATAAAGTTTGTCCATACTTGTGCACAAACATTTTATTTACTGTGATCTGTTAAAAGTGTAATTTCATCCCCACTGAATCATTCTGGTTGCTTTCAGAGCTACCTGCCCGATTACTGTCATTTGATTATCCTCATTTCATGGAGCTGCACCTCCATGAAATTGCAGATTAGAGATTACAGTACAAGTTTGCATTCCCGTCTCTGGCTATGAGCAACAAATGCAAAAGTTTTGTTGCAGGAACAGATTTACAGTTTGGTAGAAACTCCCATCTCCCTTAAGCACAAACCTGGTAAAGTGAAGTTTCATATTTAGCCTGTAAATGTTTACAATGCTTTAACATTTACATGATGTCACTATTTTCCTCTGTAGGAATCGACAAAGAAACAGAGCTTCATGGACTTGCTTTATAAACTTTTCAAATTTGAAAAATTTGGAAATGTCTTCAAAGAATCCACAGACATGGAGAAACAGAAGAAGAATCGACGTGGACTGTTTGGTGGCATGACGACTCGCAAGTCTGGCTGCAGAGTCTTCTACTGGAAAACCTGGACTGCCTGCTAACTCTCTTTAATTTATTGCTGCTCTACAATCATTTTCAGCTGCATTGTGTTTAAAAACACAAAGTACTTTCTGCTGTTCATGCTCACATAAATGTTCTTTGTTGAAGGGTATTCTGAGAGGACATTATGGCAGCTTTAATTTGCCTGCACCTCAAATCAAACTGCCT